ATCGACTGGCTCTGGACTCTGAAGGGTGGATGCTGGGGAAGCGGTCAGACTGGGAGCCCGAGCAGACTGGTTATGCTGGCACCTGGTGGGAGGCTTAGGAGATGTAAGCCGGGCATGATTCCTAAAGCCTCCACTCAAACCAGTGCAGATGGCTTAAACACGGCAGAGCTTCGACTCAACAGAGTCGCACATCATTTCCTGGTGGGGTAGACCACACTGGGCACCGTTCACACCCATCAGGGCTGCTGGGAGGAGTTGATGAGCCACAAAGACTAAGAACGAAGCTCACAGACCTCAGAGTTCTCCCAGGGGTAGCAGCACGCGGGGCAGGTGCACAGCAGAGCTGTGCTCTCTGTAACTTCCACGCAGCTCCTCCCCACGCCCCTGCCAGATGCCCAGGGTGGGCAGTGTGCAGCCTAGGCCCAAAGCAACTTGCTTTTGTGTTGCCACCTGCCACGGGGAACTTCTTCCCCGCTCAGGCATCCGAGGAAAAGCGGAGCACACCCTGGGCTTTCATCCACTCTAAGCCAAATAGTAACAGGCAAATATTTCTAAATTTCAGAATAATCCATCCACATGGTCCAAAAATCCAAACCTCCAATGAAAAGCAACCCACTGACAAGCCTTGCTCCCAACCCTGGGACTGAGTGTCCCGTCCCCTTCCACTCATCTCCCAGCGGTCACCCCTCTGTTGTTTCTCTGTAGTGCTCGGCAAACAGAAGGAAACCACAGTGCCCAGTAGATTAAGGAGTCTGTCCCGAGGTGACAGGTGACGCTGACCCCGAGCCTCCACGTTACACACACGGGTGGACACCAGCTGACAGGGGACACCTGTGCTTTGTGGCACTGCCCGGCCCCCTCCCCCTTGCTCTCTAGATAAAGAGCAAGCTCGCCCGGCCCTGCCCCAACCATGGTCGCAGGAGACACAGCACTAACACCTGCCCCCTCCTCTCTGCTCTCTCCCCAGGACCGCCGGGAGATTCTGCCCACCTCCCCGCCCTGGACACCAGCCGCATCCAGGCCCCCCAGCAGCCTGGACGGCTGGGTGAGCCCTGGGCCGTGGGAGCCCGGCCGCGGGAGCAGCACGAGCAGCCCCCCACCGCCGCTGCCCCCGCCGCCGCCGATGTCCCCCTCGTGGAGCGAGCGCTCAGTGTCCCCGCTGCGGCCCGAGCATGACGCGCGGCCACCCAGCCGCCAGCTGCAGGCACTCCTGGCGCGCAACATCATCAACGCCGCCCGGCGCAAGAGCGCCTCCCCGCGGCCGGCGGGCGCCGAGAGCCTGCGGCCCTTCTCCCCGCCTCGGCCTCCGCCGCCACCGCGCATGCGTTCGCCGCAGCCCGCACGTCCGGGCCCTCTGGCGGCGCCAGGGGCCGCATTCGCCCCGATCCCGCGGAGCCCACTGCCTGCCGGGCCCTCGTTCTGCGCCGGTCCCCGGAGCCCGCTGCCCGCGCCGCCCAGGCCCTACCCCTACCGTCGCTCGCCCACGGACTCCGACGTGTCCCTCGACTCCGAGGACTCCGGGGTCAAGTCGCCCGGCATCCTGGCCTACAACATCTGCCCCCGCGGGTGGACGGGCAGCCTGCGGCTGAAGCGCGGCAGCCTCCCCGGCGAAGCCTCCTGCACCACCTAAAGTCCCCTGCATAGTAACACGCAAATATTTCTAAGTTCAGAATAAGCCATCCACACGGTCCACAAATCCAAACTTCCAATGAGAAGCAGCGCACTGACCAGCCTCGCCCACCCCCACGAGGGCCAAAGAGCGAGCAGGCTTGGGGGACCCAGCGCTTCGGCCCCAAAGGGTCTGGTCTCATTGGTCAGCCCCAGAGAAGCGCTCTGGGCGTGGGCTGGGGGAGGCAGGGTTGGGGGTGGACCCACGCTTGGTTTCTGGCCCTTCCCGGTTCACTCAGTTGTTCTCTAATGCTCCTGCTGACCCTCAGCTGCCTGTTTACCGTGGCTTGGACAATACCATCTCCCAACGTCAGCACACACATGCCTTGGCGACAGGACCCCGGGACCAGCCGCGTTCTCCTCCCCCCAGCTCCCCCCAGCTCCCTGGAGTCTGCCACCTGCGGTGTGTTCAAAAGCTCCCTTGTCCCACGCAGGCCCTGCCCTGGCCATCGAGCTCCCTGGCACCGAGGTCCGGGCAGGAGCAGCTGTTTTCCGTCCCTTCCCAGACAAGCTCTATTTTTACCCGGTGACCTTTAGAGCAGTCTCCCAGGCCTGCTCAAGGTGCCCGGCCGTGCCTTCTGGAGAGGAGGTGAGAGAGCCTCCCCTGGCCCCTGCTCGGCCCCCACCCCGGTGCAGGGGGTCTCAGGCGTCTTAGCTGCAGCCTGGACTTCCTCCCAGGCCTGGGACTTGGGTTTCCTACGCAGCTGTCCCTCCTGGGCCCACCCATGCCAGGTTCTGGGTTCACAGCTGACCTGAGGACAGCAGAGAATGGAGCGATCCTGAGGCTTCACCTGTGGCTCTCAGACCGGGGGTGTCTAAGTGGAGGGAGACGGAGGTTCTGCTGTTACAAGGAGTATGCTAGCTGTGTGGGCAGCCCCCATTCTGGGTGACCCCTGAGGGCTCCCCTAGCCCTGAAATTCACTTCCTGGTCTAAGAAGTGGGGGGAGGATGGTGACAGAGGATCACAGGGGGCAGATAAGCTGGGGGGGGGGTGGATGAGGGGTCAGGCCAGCTTCCGCCTGCGTTTCTGGCAGCCTAGGAAATGCCCCTTCTTCAGTTCCAGCCCCCAGCCCCGGCGAATGTGTTGTGCCCAGAAGAGTGGGGAGTGGGTCCTGTCCTGCCCCACCCCTTCTGCTGCACTCTGGCCTGGCTAATGCCTCATTCCCAGTGACCCCGGGGAGCGTGGCTGCCAGCCTAGTCCATTCAGTAAACTTCGGTTGCTCTGACTCCAGTTCCCAGGAGGGATCCAGGGAGCACTGGGACCAAATTCCGTGGTTTGCAGGCTTGGCAAGTGGTGGCCTCTCGAGGAGCATCAGCCTCGGAATACGCCGGGGACTGCAGTAGGCAGAGCACTAAAGGTATGCAGGCAGAAGGATGCTGGGATGTAGCTAGAGGTGCAGGGCTGGACTTAGCCTCAGGGCAATGCTGAGCCTGAAACCAAGGCTGGGGAGAGCCAGCCAAGGTCAGGGGGGAAGGGACTCAGAGTTGGGGTGGGAGGCTGAGAATAAAAATGTGATCCCAGAGGGCGCCTGGAGCCTTAGGGCTGAGGACAAAGGCCCTGTGGGTGGGAAGATGGGAGGTGCTCCAGCTCAACTGGTAAGGAGCAACCACATTTACTGAAGCCTCAGCCTGCTGCAGGAACCCCTTGTAGCAAGAGAGACTGGAGCTAAGGACCCCTCTTAGAGAAGAGACACTGCCAAGCTTCTGGCCAATGCAGTGACCTAAGTATCTACTTCTACCTGCATTTCCTGAAACAGCCAGCAGGAGGCAGCCTAACCCACTAGAGCTTGCCAGTGTTCTGCCTCCTGCCTCCTGTAGAATTCAGCTCTGGCCCTCAATAAATGCTTCCTGCATTCTTCTGCCTCCAGTGTCGTTTTTGTCTCTGTCCGAAGCCCTTCCTTTCTCCCCAAGCATGCAACAGTCCATGGGACTCCGGGGGAATTGGAATATTTGAGAGACATGGGCTGGGAGCTTGGGGAGCAGCCATATGCAAAGGTGGGGGAACAATGGCCCTAGAAGCCACCCCTGGGTTGAAGTCCTGGTGCTGTCACTGACCAGCTCAGGGACCCTGCGTCTGGCCACTCCCTCTCCAGGCTCAGCCTCCCCATGTGGGTAAGGGGAGAGCAAGCTGTGCTAGGAAGCATCTTGGGTGGTGTTGCCCAGGCTGGGACCACCGTATACAGTGTCACTGGAGTGGGCATAGCCAGGCTGGGCCAGGGCCAGCTTCCCCCCAGAAGGTCAGGGCTCCAGGATGAAGACCCAAGGCGAGAGGTCACCTAGCGAGCTCAGGACTCGGCCCTCAGGTGTCCTCCCCTCCTGCCGGGGCAAACTTTGCCCCAAGAAGGCGGCTGTGGTCCCAGTCCCAGATGAGGCCAAGCCTGTCCTGGGGACCTCCCTCACCCTCCTTTCTAGAAACTCAGACCTAGCAGGAGCTGGGCCGAGGAACCCAAGGGAGCTGAGTGCAGGTGACAGTGCCCTGCAGGGTTCAGGAATATGCCCTGGGACTGACCACAGCTGCAGGCGCTCTCCCACACCCACTGGGCCCAGAGCCCCAGGGCTCTGCCACCCTTCCCTGGGAGCGGTCCGTGTGCCTCTGTCTCGGTCTACCTCCAGCGTACTGGTGAGCTCATCACACAAAGTACCTGCAAAGCGGAGCTCAACCTGCCCTGCACCCCAGCCTGCTCCTCGTCCTGGCTACCACCCGCCATCATCCCAGCTGGAAGCGGGGTGTGGTCCTTGACTCACCACATGCAGTCCCGCCCTAAGACCTGGCGACTCTCTGAGCACCCCTGCTGTCTCTCCCCTCCCTCAGCTGGCTGCACTGAGACCCTCCTGCCTCTGGTCTGACCCCTCCATACCTTTCCCACGGGGCAGCCAGAGCCATCTTGGGGAAATGCCAGTCTGACCACGGCATCCCCGCAGCCCTTTACAAACACAGCTCCCGGTGCAGCATCGGCCCCGGCCCTCTACCTGGCCTCGTCACAGCACTGCCCCGCAGTCCCCAGCTCTGGCTCAGCTTGCCAACCCCCTGCCATCTTTTTCCTTTCTTTAAGGTTTAGTCCCTACCATCTTCACATGCATTCTGTCCCCCATCTGCAATGCCCCTGCCCCTTTGCTGCCCGGTAAAGCCCTGCTCATTCTTCATGGGAACCTGCCAACATCTCCTCCTCCGGGAAGCCTTCCCAATCCCCTTGGCCAGGCTGATAACACGTCCTCGACACCCCAGGCTCTCCGGAGAATCTCCCATGAGGCCACACCAAGTCTTGTTTATTGGGTTGGATCTGACTCCAGCCTGGCTGGGCTCCTTCAGGACGGAGTCCTGCCTCATTTATTTTCAGTCGGTGGAGAGAGGCTCTGAGAATGTGAGGAGGTGGGGAGAGGGAGGGAGAGGAGGAGGACGGAAGGAAAGAAGGCACTGACACAGGAAGAAAGGTAGTGAGAGAGAGAGAAGCAAAGATAGAGGGTGCTGGGGGAATCACCCATGCAGCCGTCCGTCCGTCGTCCACCTACCGGCTATCTAAGAAGGCGACAACAGCTAATGAGCAGAGTGAGCAGCCGCTGACTCGACATTTCCAGGTGACTTTTAGGCGTGCACATGGGAGTGTGCGTGCACACGGGAGTGCGCATGTACACATGATTGCATGTGCACTTGTGGGCGCAAGCCTTCTGTCGGCAAGGGCCCGCTGCCGGGGCACCTGTCTTCCCTAGGGTCTGGTGCTTTTAGCATCTGGCCCCGGCTCCTATTGCAGCCCGAAATAAGGCTGTGACCCGCGACAAGGCAGGAACGATTCTCGCCAGCTGCAGCCAGAGAGGGCTGCCCACTGCTCACTGCCCGCTAACGCGGCGGCGACACAGCCACCAGCCGACCGTGAAACTCCGGCCTCCCGACAGAGGCGTCAGCCTTGGAGTTGTGACCCGCCCTCCTGCTCACGGTGGTGGTCTCCTCTTCCTCTCAGGTACCAGGATCCCAGGGGAGCTGGGGAATTGCGGGGGAGGCAGCAGAGGGGACCGGCCAGTGTCCAGACAGCCCCTTCCCCAGAGCGGAGGCAGGCCGCGCAGAGGATCCGGGGAGTCTGGGACCTCGTAGGGGTGTGGATCTTGGGTTGGGGGGAGGAGAACTCTAAGTTCTTGGCCACTCGACTCAAGTGGGATGGGGGGCTCGGACTGAAGGCGGGGGCGGCTGACAGCTCTGCTGGGGACTTCAGCAGCCTCCCCATCTGTCACTGAGGGGCCCTGCCCAGCATGGGGGATGTCTGTCAGCGGAGTGCTTCTAAGAAGAGATCTGTGCACTGTGCAGGCCTGGACAGCTTAGGACCCTCAGCCCACGTGCACGCAGACTGCAGACACACTCGTGTTTGCCTCCGGCTCTAGGGGACTCAGGAATACCCTCAAGGCGATCCGTGAATTCCTACGACTTGGTCCAACCCCATTGTCCCACAGAGGGGGAACTGAGGCTCAGAGCTGGAGAACGACTTGTTCCCAGTTAAGAGGAAGTCAGGGACGCCAAGGAATCGCAGGTCCCCAGCGAGCGCCCCTGGACCCCAGGTTCCACAGGGAGTGGGTATAGCAGTGGTACAGATGGAAGTGGACGTCTGGAAAAATCTGTAAGCAAAGGCAGGGGGGCAGAGGGCTGGGCGCTGCCTCTTTTCCTGGGGGCAAGTTAGAGACCTGAGTCTGAGGCCTGCAAGGGCTCTCTGGGGCTTTGGACCTCGTTTTATTTGTAAATCTCCTGGATTCCTGGAAAGTGCCTTGAGACCAGAGAGGGAGGAGGAGGACGGGAAAGAGAACACTGTGGAGGTAGAGCGGAGTCGGGGAAGAGAGAGAGGGTGCCATTCCCCCACTGCTGCTGGGCCAGTCTGTGCCTCAAGCCTCAGGGCCAAGTCCTGGAGCCAAGAAGGCCCAGCAGAGCCCAGCAGAGCCCATCCTAACCCACGTCCCCTGCCCCTGATGAGATCTACCCTGGCTGGGCGATGACAATAGAACTTGGGACCCCCCACCTCCCCATCCCCGATGTCCCAGGCACCTGCTGTCCTTCTGACCAGGGTGCCGGACCTGGACCAAGGCCTCAGAGTTCACGCTGTGCCGGAAGTAAGCGTCCCTAGCAACGGGGACCCGGTTTGCGTGGCCTCTCCCCTCTCCCTTGCCCTTCCTGGGCCTCAGGCCCCTCTGCAGAGACCCCAAGGCTCTTCCTGCTCAGTTAGCCCTCGCCTGTCATCAGGGGGTGGGGGGCAGAGGGAAACTGTTCAGGGCCAGGGCTGGGTCAACCAAGAACTTGGATGGGTTCTGGGGAGGAGCTGGGGGGGGCGGTGGCCTGGCCCATTTGTGAGTATTCCTCTTCGACAGGATGATCCCCAAGGAGCAGAAAGGGCTGGCCATGTCTGCCCCGGGCGACCTCTCGGAACCAGGTAAGCTGGGCCCAGCCCGGTGCTTCTTACAAACCCTGTTCTCCCTTCTAATCTGTGGCTCCTCAGGCCTGCTGGCCCCAGGCCCAGCAAACAGGTGTGAGGCCAGCCCAGAGGAGCGCCTGTGGAACCTGCAGCCTGGGCTGGGGAACTTCCGGAGGCTCGAGGAGGGACCTTGTCCTGTGTCCGCAGAGCCAGGAGCTGCGGCTGCGTGACCCTAACTCCAGCTAAGGCCTGACGTCGGCCCCAAGTTGAATTCTGAGGGCATCTACATGGCAGGGGCTGGGGGGCCCGCACTCCACGCTGGGCTCTGCAGGCTGCTTCCGTGCCCTTCAGCAGCACAGCCCAGACTTCCGCCTGTCTCATGCGGCACCTCCGCCTGCCTCCCCGCCCCCAGCTTGCCCGGCGCCCATTGGTTCGCCGTGGGATACATATCTGCCAATCTCTAATGCTGGATGTGAAACCCGTCTCCAGGGCAGGGAAGTCTTGGGTGGTATCCTTGGGAGTTCAGCCCCAGGGGTCCTGTGCCCATGCCTCATTGAGGGGTGCTCTCAGAAGGGAAGTGAGGGCAGGAGAAAATGCTGAGCCAGGCCGGGCTCGGCTGTAGTTCAAGTTCAGCCTGACCCCTGTGGGGGACTGCAGAGCATCACAGAACCCATTCTGCCAAGGCAAGGGGGCCGTGGGCGGCTGCTTCCATGCCACTGAGCAGGTCTCTGCAGAAGGTCATGGTTAGGATCTGTGGGCCACCAATAACAGAGTCAGGGCAGCATCTAGCACAGGGTGCACCCCGGGGTCGCACGATCGTAAACACCCTCGGGTATATGTCTTTGGGTATGTTTACTCAACTTGCACTCCGAGAATGCGTTCCTAGACGGAGGCGGGTTTTATCGTTTCTGTTGTCAGTGTTGAGCGCAGTTCACCTGCATGGTGTTTGAGATTATGAGGTGGGGGCAAGGGCCTGGTGAGGCATTTAGGTAAAACCGTCCCTGCTGGTAATTACGCAATGCACTTTCTGGTATAAAAAGAACCCTGTCAACAATTTCCAGCCCTCCTTCTTCCTATGTTTCCTAAGTAGTCACCGCTAATATTAGACATGTCTGCTACTGTTTCCGATGCACCTACAGATACCTACATATATATAGGCATGTATAAATAGGCTCTTAGAATACCCAGCCTTCTCAAAGGACTTTCCCCTCTACTTAACCTACAGCGGGTTTCTTTCTGTTCTTAGCATGTGGAAAGGGCTCTTTCTACATTTGTTCAAAGAATTTAAAAAATCCTTTTTTAAAAAAGTGACTGCTTAGGACATCACTGAATAGAATGACTCAGAGCACCCCAGTGGCCCAGGTGCTGACGGGAGCCCCCCTTCCCCTAGCCCAGTCCATCCTCTGGCCCACGGCACTGCCTTCCATGACCTTGGCAAGCCCGCTCCTCTTTCCTCGAACCTCCAATACCTCTTGCTGCTAACGACCTTGCTTCTTTTCACCGAGGAAAATCCAGTAACGGACGGACAACATGTGCAGCCCCACCTGCCACAGCTGCCCACCTGCTCGCGTCCAAGCCTGGGCGCTCAGTCTTCCTTCCCCAGAGACTTGGCAAAACCCCCTCACACCTGTCTGGTGCCAGCCCTTCTAGCTGCGCACCAGACACCCTGCCCCTTCAAGGACAGTCCTTCAGCCATTTCTGTCAAATGTTCCCATCAGCCAACACACCTGCTGTCAGTTCTCTTTACAGACAGACAGAGCCCTCTCGATCTCACAGCTGCCTCCAGCCGTGGTCATTTAAAGCCCAGACTTCTCAACGCAGTTATCCTTTCCTTCCCATCCTCTCTCTCGTTAACACATTATGATGTCAATTTCCAAACACAGGCAGAAGTAGGTAGTTCAAGTCCCCAGGGCTCCCGTCTTTCTTCCTGGATTCCAAAGTTAATACCAAAGGACATGTTGTTTCATCCCCCAAATTCTTCAGAATGCATCAACAAGGATAATAAGGACTTTCTTTACATTCTACAAGGGTATTTGCACAGAGAACATAAATAGCAAAAATGGATTTAATACCACCTAATAAGCAGTACCACATTTAGCTCCTTCCGATTTTCTAGTTTGGGTTAATCAGGATCAAAAAGGGCTTGTGTGTGTGTGTGTGTGTGTGTGTGTGTGTGACAGGCAGAGTTAGACAGTGAGAAACAGAAAAGCCTTCCTTCCATTGGCTCACCCCCCCAAATGGCCGCTATGGCGGGCACACTGTGCCGATCCGAAGCCAGGAGCCAGGTGCTTCCTCCTGGTCTCCCATGTGGGTACAGGAGCCCAGTGGCCATCCTCCATTGCCTTCCTGGGCCACAGCAGAGAGCTGGACTGGAAGAGGAGCAACCGGGACAGAATCCAGCGCCCCATCCGGGACTAGAACCCAGGGTACTGGCGCCGCAGGCGGAGGGTTAGCCAAGTGAGCCACGGCACTGGCCTAGGGCTATCATTTTTAGTTGGCTGCTAGGTTTCTGAAATACCCTTTATTCTAAAGCAGCCTCCCTCCCCTTTCTTCCACGTCATTCACTTGTGGAAGAAAACAGGCCAGTTGCCGCGTGGAATGTTCCCTATCCTGGATCTGACTCAGGCTTGCTTTGGTTATGCCAGAAATTGTTCCTCCGGCCCTTTTCTCCTGAACCCTCTCCGATCAGGCTCTCACACCCAAATGTGTCACAGCAACTGCTTTAGTGCAAATTACCGCTGTCCCCACGGTACGCAGCGTGGCCGCCACTCTCAGTGCCTGCCTCTGTTGTGGGTCCCTCCACCATCCCTGCACTGTTCGGGGCGCTCTGCAGGGCGTCTCCCTCTTCAGGTTTCCTCCTATCTCCCGTCCAGGCTCCGGGCTGGCTCCCCCCTCCTCCGGCTTAGAGTCGGAGGCCCCCTGGCTCAGTCTTGTTCTACTCCCATTTCTTGCTGACCTCATCCAGCTCAAAACAGCATCTAGAGGGCTGGGATGTGAACTCAGCGTCTCTGATTTTAGAGGCGGACGGTGCAGGGCAGCTGCCTCACCCAACAGCCCTCCCCACCCAGGTCCTCACCACGCTGGCACACATCACCCCATCCTCCAAAGCCTTCTTTGTTGGTCATATGTACAAGCCAGCATTTTACTGGGCTGGGGGAAACACTCAGGTGAGACATGGGTCCCAAACCACCAGCCCCGGAAGTCCTCTCAATGGCTACAATGCCTAGTCCTAAGCATGAGAGGAGAAGAAACATCATGGAAAACACCACCGCCAACAAGCACTGTCTACAAGCTCCCAGGGGTGCCCGCTGCTTCCCTCCAGGCCCATTTCCACCCATACATCCAGCTCCGTCCTCAGCGTCTCCACCTGGAAGTCTGCAGGCGCTGCCAAACTCATGTGTTCATGTTTAGAGACGATGAGCAGAGCTTCATGCAGACCAGATATTCAATGCAACACACGTGCGTGCCCTTGGAAAGGTGGAGATGGTGAACTGATAAAACCAAGTTACAAACACAAACGCCGTGAGTTCATTTTGGGTACAAAGTCATCTATGAGGAGCCAGCCTCGAGGCATGGTGGGTTAAGCTGCCACCTGAGATGCCAGCAACCTATTAAGAGTGCCCATTCGGGTCTCGGCTGCTCCACTTCTGATCCAGCTCCCTGGTAATGTGCCTGGGAAAGCGGCGGAAGATGGCCAAGTCTCTGTGTCTGTCTGTCTCTCTCTGTTACCCTGCCTTTCACATAAAATAAATCCTTAAAACCCAAGTCCCACAAGAGTGAACAGCACAGAAAAAGAGAAAGCACGTATGCTAAGGTATTGCTGGTGGTGTTGTCTGGGTGGTGGACAGCGGCATTTCTCTTCTGTTTTCTTCAATCTGCATTTTCTAACTGTCCTCTGTATACACATATGCCATTTGTGTAACACTGAAAGACCATTTTAAATCAACAGGACACATATCCAAAACCAAACTTCTGATCTTTCCCCAAAAGAACATGTCCTCCCTTGGTCTTCCCGGTCTCGGCGAGTGGGTGTGCCCCCTTCCCAGTGGCTCCAGCCTGACACCTTGCAGTCTGCCCTCCAGCCCTCACCCCCAGGCCCCCGGTTTACCTGGAGCAAACATCCAGATGTGGCCACCGCTCACTCCCTCGGCCACTGTGCATAGGAGCCGCATAGCAAAGTCCTGGGCCTAAGAGCTTCCCAAACTACAGCCTCCCTCCCTGCCCCCCCGCCCCCCCAGTGGCCAAAGTCTCGTGTGCTGTTTTCCCCCAGCAAGTGGGCCACGTTTCAGAGTAATGACTTCCGGGGTCAAATGTTTGCGTGGCAGAAACAGGTGTTTTCACGAGCAAGCCCTGATGCCTGGAGGCTTGAGGACGTGGCCTGGAGTGCCTGGGGCGGGTGGTGAGGCCTCGCTGTGGACCCCGCCCTGGCCTCTCCTTGCAGTGCCCTTGCTGGACCTGGGCAAGAAGCTGAGCGTGCCCCAGGACCTGATGATAGAAGAGCTGTCACTCCGCAACAACCGGGGGTCCCTCCTCTTCCAGAAGAGGCAGCGCCGTGTGCAGAGGTTCACCTTTGAGCTTCCAGACAGCCAGCGGCTGGTGAGTCAGCCTGCCCTGTGCTCTGGGGGAAACTGAGGCCAGGGAGAGCCTGGTGAGCACCTCTGGCCTCTGGTGGGGCCCTCGAGCTCCAGCTGGGGAGACGGTGATGTTCCCACAGGTCGAGCGTCTGCTTTGCTGGGTGATTCTTGGGCTGTGTGAGGCTTTAGCCTCTCTCCACTGATACAAAGCCCAGGGTGGGCTGGGTGGGACGGGAGGAAGGACGGGACTCTGCCTCCTGCTAAAAAGGCTGGAAACCAGTCGAGAACAGGGGCTGAATTTACAGCAGGCAGGGCTTAGCTTTGAACTTGGCCTAGCATGGAAAATGCAGCAAGGATGGGTTTCCCCTGGCTGCAGAAATGGACAGCAGCTTCAACTACTTCTAAAGAAAGTGGGGGTATTACAGCCATATATGGCTCCGGCTCCCATCCGCTCTGCATAGGAAAGAACCCAGAGAACAAACATGGCAACACACCTCCCTCTGCTAGGGCCTAAGCAAGGTTGGCTTCTCCCCTCATTTCATGCTGCGAGATCCATATCATCACCACCACCACCACCACCATCATCATCCCCATGTATACAGAGGGAAATCAAGGCTCAGAGACGTGAAATATCTCACCCAGACTTGGTACAATAGCAGTCAGCATAAACGCTGGTATCTTCAAAAAGTGAGTGGACAATGGGTGCTTTGAAAAGGAAAAAAAAAAAAAAACTACACATGGATTTCAAATTATTGTACACGGAAATAAATGTATCCTTTAACCCCGATTGCCCGGGAAACTGTTGGAAGCATGTCTCTGTTAGCTCATCAGCCACCCCCTGGGGGATCTTGTCCTTTCTGCCTCTTTTGGTGGAGGGAGAACCTGGGTGCCCTTCCCCCCTGAGCCTCCTGCGGTCCATTTGCCCCCTCACAGAGCCTGGCTGGAAGCGCCAAGAGGAAGGCGCTTGGAACAGCGGAGCCCGGGACGGTGAGTGCTGGGTTAGACTCCGCCCAAAGGGACGCTTGGGGAAGGGGCGCCGCCGCCGGGCAGGGGAGGGAGTGGTCGGCCACGGCTTTTCTGAGCGCCCGCCCCCGTGCTCAGGTCGCCAACGGCCTCGAGGGGCAGAGCTACCGCTCGGAGCTGCACGTCTTCCCGGGCTCTCCCGGGGGCCTGGACGACGCCCACGGCACGGCCGCCCTAGTGAAGAACGCCCGCGGCACGGCCGCCCTGGCGGAGAGCGCCCGCAACCCCAGCGCCCTGGCCCCAGGTGAGTGGGTGAGCCTGGCGTGGGGCAGTGGATGGGGTTGCCCAGGGATCGTCCGATCCAGCCTGGTCGCCCACGCCCCACGGGCCGGAGCGCAAGTTCGGAGGGGGCGCCCACGGCCACACGGCGAGTCTGGGTCCCGCCAGCTGACCTTGGGTGCCATGGAAGAGTCCCCCTTACTGGCGCGACATCGATACCCCATCCCCGACTTCTCTTGTCCTGGGAGTGAGGACGGCAGCGAGGCCAAGGGGTACGGAGCCCGCGCGCCCCCTTCCGCCAACCCCACACAGCCGCTCCTTGCGCAGGCTACTCCGAGCCACTGAAGGGCGTCCCGCCGGAGAAGTTCAATCACACGGCCATCCCCAAGGGCTATCGCTGCCCGTGGCAGGAGTTCATCAGCTACCGAGACTACCTGGGCGACAGCAGCAGTCACACCCTCAGCCCAGCCAGCTACCGCAATTTCAACAAGTAAGGCCGCACGGGGAGGGCTGGGCAGGTGCTGTTGGCCAAGATGAGTAGAACAGGTTCTTGTCTGGGTGCCAGAAGGAATTCAGACGCGAGACAGAGGGGAATGGTGAGCGAGGTGGCCAAGTGTCCAGGAGTAGCGTGGCCGTCGAGACAGATGGGCACCTGTCCAGCTGGAGCCTGGGAGAGGGCCAGGTCATTCAGACTGGGGAGAGCAAGGTTAGGTAGTTGGATGGGGACAATCCACTTGGCAGGCAGGGCAGGCTAGGAGTATTCAGACTGGGGCTTCTAAGGGAAGGGGGCCGGGTCTTTCTGCTTCCCCTCCTCCCTCTTCTCCTGGCCACAAGGTTGCTGGGTGTGAGCTAGGTGAAATTCCTCCTACGGTTTGTCACCCAGTGTTAGCAGACTGGGTAGCCCACCCTGACAGAGGAGATTCCCCCAGGAGCCTTCCTTGGGGGAAGACTTGGGGCACCTGTAAAGCTGCATAGGTATGGGCAGGACTTGTGCAAAGTACCGGGCTCTTCCGCACGCACAGGCCAGTGTAACTTCCTACCTCACAGTGCCCACGCATCGTCCTCTGCAGGGGAAGGGACAGGAGCCCAGGAACGAACAAACTGCGGAATCGGGAGACAAGAAGGGGGCGGAGTGGGGGGCTCGTCGCTTGGACGACCCAGAGCCCCTGGCTGCCTCTCGACCTCTTCCAAGGTCCTGTCTTTCCCCCAGGCAGGCAGGCAGCTGGCTCTCTCCAGAGCTAGGCCAGCCCAGCCTCTCCTTATGTCACCAACTGGGGTGGGGGGGGGCCATTTGGATATTTACAACCTCGCTACTCAGGGGTCAGTACAAAATTGTGAACTTAAACATTAGGCTGCTACCGTCGTGTCGAATTTCCAGTCCCCTCTGCGGTTGCCTTGGCAGGGCCAGACCAAATGACTGGGAGGGGAGAGCTTGTTTGGCCCGCAGGCGGGATGTTCCCCGACCCCTCCCTCGCCCCAGAAACTGGTTAAACAGAAGAGTGGCAGGAAACCACTGGAGTGGCTGGTACTGGTTTAAAGCCTGGGGCCTCAACAAAGGGTTAAATACAGACGCCAGGTCTTGGGCAAGCGACAGCCTCTCTGAGCCTCTTGCCTCAGCTATAGCGGAGACTTGTAGAAAAGCCATCTGATGGCTATGAGCAGGACACAGCAGCCACAAAGTTGCCAATAAGACACTCTCAACAAACAGCAGTTACTGTTGTTATTACCACTTGTAGGCTGAACGGATGATGAAGGCAGAAGCTCATGGAGAACCCGAGAGACATCACTCTAGTGCTGTGATCCGGGGGCCTGAGAACACATCGCAGGCGTCCAGAGGGAGGCTGGCGCTGGAGGAGGAGGGCCTTGGGCAGGGGACACATTTCAGCTGCAGTTGGCTTCCCCCCTCTGAGGCTATTTTAGGTTGCAGGAAGCAAGGGAAGGGGTCCTGAGAGAGGAGGCCACCGTCCAGCTCTTCTGGCACCTGCTCAGACCACACGGGGAGACCGCGTCTGCCTGACAGAGACAGATGGGTGGGCTCCAGGCCCTGGCTGGCCCTGGACGCCCGGCCTTGTGAGGAAGGGCTGAAGGAGCTGGGGGCTGGGGATGGGAGGGGATCGGCCTTGGAAGGGACAGCTCAGGATGGACGTGACTGCCCCCAGGCTGTGAACAGCCAGGGAAGAGTGGGCCCCACAGGCACTGTGTGAGCCTCGAGCTAAGAGCTCCTAGCAGACGCCCTGGAGTTCCCACCAGGGGCAGCTTCCCTGTCTGTCCTTCTGGTCCTCAGACCCTGCCTGCCCAGCCTTGGAAAGCCCTTGGCAGCCCCGCAGCCCTGGGCAGCCAGCTTCTATGCTGGCCGCTTCAGGTTGCATCTGCACCCACGTCATGCCACACATATGACAGGCGCTCTACATTCCCACCAGCAGCGGGAGGGTCCTGGGAGCCCTGAGCCTAGACCTCTCCTGAGACAGAAAGGGCAACTGAGGTGCAAGGGCAGGAACAGCAGTGTTGGTGGCCACGAGGGCCCGGAGTCCAAGGCTCTGGGCTCCCAGTCAAGGGCTTGTCAACTGTGAGGCCTGCTCGGCTTGGACACTGCCCAGCCTGCTCCCGCAGGGCCTGGCTGTCTCCACCAGAGCTGGGGTGGTCTCAGCTGCAAGGCTGCCTGGCTTGCAGGAACCCAGGAACCAGGCCAGGCTTGCTTGCTTCCTCCAGAAGTCTCTGGCTGCAGGAAAAACACTCCTCAAGCAATTTTTAAAAATATTTTCCTCAAATTAAAAAAAAGGCTTTAAAATCATACACATATTGTCTCTTAAAAAAAATTCAGCAATTGCAAATGCAGTTCACTACCCTGCAATCGGGTTCCCTCCCCAAAGGCAGCGCCATTGGCAGACTGTGTGTGCGTGCAGGACATTTTGTACAGCCAGTGGCATAGCTACTGGAGACACTGTACTGCGTGTGTGTTCTTTCCTGCAAGTTGTCTTTTCCACAAAACCTCACGCTTTGGGGATCTCCACATTAGTGCATACAGATCTAGAGCTGCTGTGTGGCATCCGCCACATGCTGTGCTCTTTGTCACCCGCGTGCTGCTCGTGGCTTTTGCCTCGGGCGTACATGCCTGTGCCTCCCCACGCTGCAAGCTCAGAGGTGGAGCTGCTGGGGAGCAGAGTGCACGCATTTCCAGATGAAAAAGATCCTGCCGAGCTGTCCTCCGACCCAGGCAGCAGCACCAGAGGACCCAGATTGACAGCCGAGGAGTGCCCCCACCCACCTCACCCACTTCGCCCCCTTGTCCAGTGATTCCAATTTGCTGGCCTTAAGGCAAATCCCCTCTTCCTGCTTCGATTTGAGTCGGTTGTTCCAAGCTGCGGAAGGGTGACAAGTAGAAGGGACAACTTTCTACGACAAGCCAATTGAAACACTGGAAACGCCACACCTCTGCCTAAGCAACAAGCCGTGGCCACTAGGGGCAGGCAGGGAACGGGCAGCGCTGGAGAATCCCATTGCACAAGGCACACACCTTGCTGGGTTGAAGGGCACCGAGGCCCACACGTGGGGACTGCAGGGCAGGGTCCTGCCGCCTCTTCCCACACAGCTCACGTCTCCTGCTACTCTCTTTCCCCAGGACCCCGGTGCCATTTGGAGGACCCCTCGTGGGGGAGGCCATCCCCAGGGCAGGCACCCCTTTTGTCCCAGAGCCCTTCAATGGCTTGGAGCTCCTCCGCCTCAGACCCAGCTTCAACAGAGTGGCCCAGGGCTGGGTCCGCAACCTCCCGGAGTCTGAGGAGCTGTAGCCTCAGCCTGGATCTTCTACACCCCCCGCTCAGGGCTTGGGCAACCTCTGCAGCCAAGACTTGCAGAAAGTACTTTGTGGTTTATGAAGAGCCTGCGCATGTAAAACCTGATCGCACATGGCCTTGAAGGCCCCAGATGTAGCCATGCTTCGAAATCCCTTGGGGAAACTGTTCCTGATTCGGGTTCTGGCCTGCCCTAGCCTTGCTGCATCAGCGCCTCCCAGGCAGAGGAGTCTGTAACAGTACTTCAGGTTGTGTCCTTAGCAACCCACAGCCATGCCTTGGCTCCTCCCTGCTCCAGCAGCTCACACTCCCCCAGGTGCAGGGTGCTCCCTAGTAGTCCATCTACCTGTGCATACCTCTGATGATTAGAAAGTCTTGCTTTTTATTTAAACATTTACTGAGTATCTACTGTGTGTGAGACCATCTGCCAAGCCCAGGCCCCAAGGAGGAAAAGAGAAAGAGGGGAGACAGATCTGTAACGCAACAGATCATCTGAATTGTTCCTAAAATGTGCTACTGCCATCCAAGGAACAGTGTTATAGGGCAGAGGCAAAGTGCCTGGGTGTGGGGTGGGAAGCTTCCCAGAGGTGGAGGGGGACCCTGGAGGCAGAGTCTATAAGGAGAAGAGAGAGGGTGTGATGGCGAGGGCCCTCCTGGCAAGTGGACTAGCAGGTGCAGAGGTGCGGAGCTGAGCCCAGGTGCAGGGGTTGTGGAGAAGGGATGGTATTAGAGGCGTCACAGTGGGATGGGTTTTCCTAAGTGGGGACGTTTCAGTGATGGTCCCGCTGGTGGCTGTGTAGGGCACAGGTTGGAGAGGAGGAATGCCAGAGCCGGAAGTCTGAAAGGGATGAGGTCACGGGGATGGAGAGAGGGGCCATCCTGCTGGACACCTTCCAGGACAGGTGCAAAGTGGGGGCATCATAAAGGCTCCTTTCCACCTGCCATTCTGAGCGGGCCCTTTAGCTCAAGTGAAGATGGCGGTGATGATGGTGATGGAGGAGGAGGAAAGGGGAAGGAGAGAAAATGAAGATGATGACAGTGGCTGTGTGCTGAGTGTCTCAGCACCTGCGCTGACAGTAAGCGCTGCACATACCCAGCACAGACACCCACCTGCCCACCCTCCTGCCTCTGCCCGGCCCTCCCAGCAGAGGTAACTACTGGCAACAGTTTGGTCCTTTTGAAATCTAGAATTATTTGAATAGGTAGATAAGTGCATGCATATAGATGCACAGGTGCCTGGGGATGTCTCGGTTTTAATGGAATCATGCTGTATGTACCCTTGTGTGTCTTCTTTATTCAGCCATAAGTAAAATTTGGATTCTGAAAAAGCAGCTACATTAACCTTTACCAAGTCCTTTATATAAAACTCCATTCTTTAGCCTGTTTTTGTTCTTTCTGTAAATGAAATTAGAGTGACAAGGAAATGAAAAAGACCAAGAACAGCCACAGTGTTAAGAAACCCACCATTAGACATAGCTGCAATGAACAAGAATGAATTACAGGGGCATGCAACAACATGGGTGTACCTCAGTAAGCTGGGGATAAGCAAAGGCAGGCAAATGAACACACCCATGGGACCTGGTACAGGGAGTGTTTATAATCAAAGTCAGAATGGTGGTAACTTTGGGAGAAGGGAAGGGCTTGTGACTCTGAAGGGACACATACAATTTTGGGGTAATTAGAGAACTGTATTTCTAGACCTGGGTGACTGTTACAGAGATGTCCATTTTAAAATATTCAAGTTAGACAAATGTGAGCGTGATGCCATTTCCTGCATATGTGTTATAGCTTACCAAAATAATCATTTTTAAACAGTTAATGAACAGGTTAATATCGGTTAGGCACTCCCAGAGAGAATAAGTAAAAGTGCCCATAAAGCATTATAGAGGTAAAAAGATGGAAGACCTGAGCAAAGTTCAAAGTAACAGAGAATAAAATGGAAATATCTCACTGCAAATAGCAATACTTTATAGCAACAATAGGAAAATATATTTAAGGAGAGTGAAATTAATAGATTTTCAGATAAATAAGTATTAAGAGAGCTTTCCGTTAATTCCTGAAAGAACTACAAAAGAACATGTTAGAACCCAGAAGTACAAAATCTAAGAAGCCATGGTGAGCAGAACAGCTGATAAAAATGTGAGTAAGTAGGGCCAGCCACTGTGGCATAGAAGGTTAAGCTCTGCCTGTGGCACCAGCATCCCATATGGACACAGGTTCAAGTCCCTACTGCTCCACTTCCCATCCAGCTCCCTGCTAATGCACCTGGGAAAGCAGCAATAGATGGCACAAGTGCTCGGGCCCGGCATCTACGTGGGAGACCCGGGGAAGCGCCTGGCTCCTCGCTTTGGCCTGGCCCAGCCCCTGCCGTTGTGCCCATTTGGGGGAGTGAACTAATGGATGGAAGCTCTCTCTCTCTCTTTCCCCTTCTCTCTCTGTATCTCTGCCTTTCAAATAAATAATAAATCTTTTAAGAAAATATGAGTAAGCCCCAATAAATTTAGTCATTACAATGGAATGCAGGAAGGATGAAAAAGAAATAAAGGCACAAAAAATAAAGTGCTATGTTTTAACAATATATGTAAAAGGACAAGACTTACCAGTTTAAAGATGAAGACTCACAGATTAGATAAAAACTTCTTTTAGCTCTGAGCTATTTACAAGCAGAATTCCTAAAAATATGAGGAATTAATGAAATGAAAAAAAGTTATACCAGTTAAGTGCTATCCAAAAGAAATGTGCTCCAGCCACATTAACATCGGACCAAGTAGACTGCGGCCAAAAGCCTTGCTGTGATAAAGAGGGTCCTCACAGGAGGATAAATCTGAAAGCATGAAGGAACACCTTTCAGTGACTGATGGATTATCAAACCAATTGAGGAGAGATACAGAAGATCTGAACAGGCCGGCGCCGCGGCTCACTAGGCTAATCCTCCGCCTAGCGGCGCCGGCACACCGGGTTCTAGTCCCGGTCGGGGCGCCGGATTCTGTCCCGGTTGCCCCTCTTCCAGGCCAGCCCTCTGCTGTGGCCCGGGAGTGCAGTGGAGGATGGCCCAGGTGCTTGGGCCCTGCACCCCATGGGAGACCAGGAAAAGCACCTGGCTCCTGGCTCCTGCCATCGGATCAGCGCGGTGCGCCGGCCGCAGCGCGCCGGCCGCGGCGGCCATTGGAGGGTGAACCAACGGCAAAAGGAAGACCTTTCTCTCTTTCTCTCTCTCTCCCTGGCCCCTCTGCCTGTCAAAAAAAAAAAAAAAAAAAAAAAAAAAAAGATCTGAACAAAAAGTACTAATTAGAGAACACATGACCTCAATTTCAACTACATAGAACACTCTTGAAAGCTGAATGTAAAAATTAAAAAATTCTGTGTGCCAAAGATCATTATCAAGAGAGTAAAAAGGCAATCCATGGAATAGGACATTATAACTCAGACAGGAAATATGAATATGTCAGCTATAAATAAGTGATTTAATAAATAAACCATAAATGAAAGAGAAGGGATAGATCTTCCTTCTCCGTAACAAAGGCTTCCAAATATATGCAAATACTAACTCCTTTAAGAAGCAGAACTTAATTCTCCACTTGTTGTTGGTTACAGACTGAACTGGCCAACTTGCTTCCAAATAGAACATAGAAAATGCAAAATAGTGACTTTATAAAGAACAGCCCTAGGGGACTCCATGCCAACTGATTAACCAAGCTTTGTCATCAGTAATACTTACATTTCTGTGATGTGGCAAGGACCCTTTCCCTTGTAGTAGACAAGTTTTTAAATGTTAAAAAAGAAAACAGTTAATTTATTCCAAAATAAATAAAGCAAAAAAAAAAAAAAAAAAAACAAACAAAAAAAACACCAGGTTCAGAGGGAGGGATTCACAGGTGAGTTATAGCAGACATTTAAGAAAAAAAAAATCAGTATTACACAAACTCATTCATAATGAACAGTAAGAGGTAATATTTCTAAACACACTTTTCAAGGTCAGAAGAAACCTGTTACAGGTATTCCAGAGGGGCTGGCATGGTGGCGCAGTGGGTTAAGCCACCACTTGCAATGCCTACATCACGCTCACAGATTGGAACTCCATCTTGTTAGGAGGTCCATCCTTCCCAGACTGATTTACAAATTCGACACAATTCCAATTTCAGTAATATTTTCATGGAAGCACTAGGCTAGCTTTAAAATTTGCATGGAAATATAAAGATGCATTAAAAAAATCTTTTTCAACCAACAATCAACAATCCGTGAGGTCCGTAGGCTGGGCCCTGAGCCAGCATGAATGGTGTCCTAGGGAGGGAAACTGGACCCGGAGGCCTGCACCCAGGAAGATCCTGCAAAGTCCGCGGCAGAGATTAGCTGATGCTTTCAGAAGCCAGGGAACACGAAGACTGCCAAAAACCACTGGGTCCTGGGGGAGAGGCACGGAACAGGTTCTCTCTCACCCGCAGAAGGATCAGCCCTCCTGACACTCGGCCCTTGGAAGTCCAGCCCCCAGAACTGTGAGACAATAAATGCCTGATGTGGAAGTCGTCACACTGGTGGCACTTGGTTATGACAGCTCAGGCAGACTAAAGCAGACTCTGGCACACTAGACAAGTTGGACTTCATGACAATGGAACCCCCTGTTCATCAAAAGATACCACAAAGGAGTGCACAGGCAAGCCACATGCTGGGAGAAAATACTTGTGAATTTCTGACAAAAGACTAATATCTAAGCTATCCTGAAAAGAAAACTTCTATAACTAGTTAATAAAAAGATCCTCCCCAAAATATGGCCAAAATATTTGGACAGATTCTTCATAAAAAAAGATATATAGTGCTTGCTTTGGCAGCGCATATGCTAAAACTGGAAAGAAACAGAGAAATTAGCATGGCCCCTGTGCAAGGATGACACACAAATCCGTGAAGTGCTCCATATTTTACTTAAAAAAAATGACAGATAAATGGCCAACAAGTCCTTGAAAAGATGTACAACTTACTTCTAACAATAGAAATGCAGAATAAAACAATAAAATACTACTAAACACCCCCGGAATGACTTACACCAAAGTTAGTGATTCTGTGGCAAAACTGGAACTCTCATACGTTGCAGTAGGAATGTAAAGTGGTGCAACTGGTTTGGGAAAAGGTCTGAAGGTTTCTTCTAAAAAGAAACACATTCCTGCCCTATAAACCATCACCTGTCAAGAGAAATGAAAACATCTGTTCACAAAGATGTGGACAATGGCACAGCAGGGTAGGCTGCCACTTGGGATGCTCTCGTCTCATATCAGAGTGCCTGAGTGCACTCTCCACTCTGCCTGCATTCCAGCTTCCTGCTAATGCACACTCCTGAGAGGCAGCAGGTGACAGCTCAAGTACTTGGGTCCCTGCCACGCCTGTAGGAGACTCACATGGAGTTCCTGGCTCCTGACTTTGGCCTGCCCCAACCCAGCTGTTGTGGGCATTTGGAGAATGAACCAGCAGAGAGATCTCTATTACTGTGCATTTCAAATAAAAACATAAATAAAACTTCTAAAAAAGTGATCGCATCATATAGTCATGTTTTTCAAAGGGTGGTCCTCACCCATCAGCATTGAAGACACGCAGGAACACACTTAAGACACACTGAAGCCTAAGAGCTGGTCTACATTGCCACCTGGTCTACATCCCCGCTCCATACCAGGGCTTCAGCTGCCACCTCAATTTTTTTTTTTAAAGATTTATTTATTTACTTATTTAAGATTTACTTATTTTGAAAGTCAGAATTCCAGAGAGAAAGGGAGAGCTATTCCATCTGTTTGTTCACTCCCCAGATGGCCGCAATGGCCAGTGCTGGGCCAGGCTGAAGCCAGGAGTCATGAGCGGGTGCAGCCACCCAAACACTTGCACCATCTTCAACTGCTTTTCCCAGCCGGGACTCAAAGTGGTGCCCAAATGGGATGCCACTGTCGCAGGTGATGGCTTTACTTGCTATGCCACAACTCCAACTCCCAAATCTTGATCTCTTAAGCTCCATTTCCCTTTGAGCTGGGAATTGTCCACCGACCTATCTCACAGTAACTTTAAACTCACCAGATCCCATATTAGAATCACACCCCCCACCCCCACCCCCACCCCCCGCCTCCCAATCTCGTTCTGCAGCATCCCGCATTCCAGAAGACATCCTTTCATCCAGCTGACCAAGCCAGAGATGGGGTGTGGCGCGCTGCTGTCACCCTAGACGCCTCCTCTGCCACCTCATTTCAGGTCACAAAGGCGCACTGACTTGAACTCCAAAACACGTGTCACATCGCATTCATGTATAATTTGTTTCTCTCACTGACCTCAACTTCAGCTACCAAAGGATAAAGGAAACAGCAATACAGAAACAAGCCACGACAGTATTTGGAAAATTGACCCGTTTTAATTATTTAAAAACAAAAACAAAAACAAAAAACACAAAATAACATCAACTTTCCCCTACCATCTACAGTTCAGTTATATCCAAACATTCTAAGACCAGACAGACAGTCCCCTACCCACAGGAGAGGATCACAAGACGACGCTGAAGACACACGCAGGCCCGTGCTGAAGGGCAGAGTTCCAGCTGCAGGTCACGAGTCTTCCATTCAAACACACTCTGGGGCTTCTCGCTGCAGTGAGTGTTTTACAGGAAGTTCTTTCAGAGAATTTTGTCCCAGACACCAGGTTTCTTCAGTAACACACAGCTCCTTGAAATCTGTTTCCATCTCATTGACAGGAGTAAAAAGTAATTTTCGCTTTTATCTTTTCTCAGTGGTGTAGAAGTCAAACTATCCATCAGATTCCTTTAGCAATGGATGAAGTTTGAAAAGGGGAGGATGAAGAGCGCTGTGCTGTGCTGTGCTGGGTGCTGGCTGCTCCTGGACTTTCTGAGGGTGTGACTTCAGGAGAGTTCAGTCACACTCACGCCACGACAGTGATTAGTGCTGGTCATCTTTGCTTTTAGACGATGAAAAGGAAAATATCCAATGGACATAAAAATGGTCGAAGTTTCTTTACCGCAGGTCAGTGCCCTCCCTCCCCCAAAAGATACAAAACAAACATGTTATTAGGATAGTAACTCTGTGGAGCATTCCATTCAGCCATGTGCCTGTCCCCTGTACAGGTTAGGCGAACAGACATTAGGTTGTATTAGTAATGTTAAGCAGTAACCAGATGTGGTAATGGCAGTTTATTCACTATTTCAAGTCCACTGATCTCTGAATACGTGTAGGAAAGCATGGCTGCCATTCTCCAACTGCCCACATCTGAACACATTCAGCTACCATGGAAACTACAAAGGAAGGAAAAATAGATTTATTCCAAGATTCATTTACTGGGATTTTTAAGCGCCCTTTCTTCCACGTAGCCCCAGAGTGGTAAGAATGTGCTAGGGGCTGCTGTGTTTCCCAGCATGAGCCCCCATCCTCTGCGGGTCCTGAGAAGGGTAGTGGATTGGTCCTGGGGCCCTCATGAAAGGAGGGGGTGGTCCCATTGGGTGGAACATGTGTGGCCCAAAACCTGCGGATGGGAAAGAACACATCTGTTAAGCCTGCAGCTCCCTTGACAATGTTTCAAACTTCTCAGTCCTTCCAAGATCACAAGGACTTATGCACAAACCAAGGCTGACAGCGAACTTAAGTATCCATTCACAAGATGAGCTTGGAAATAAGCACCTGTCTCATTTCCTTTGTTTTACAAACTTTTTTCTCTAGAAAACTCCGCCAGTGTATCTGCTAGGACGTCACCTGAACCTCTGCAGTGTCTCACACGTGCCAAATCCTATCGGACAGGGTCCATTCAGAATTTCAGGAAGACAGGCGAGACTGTTGCCCTCGCCGCGTGCAGCAGACTCGAGGGTGTCCAGAAATCAGGCTGTCTCCACAGAGCGCAGGCTGCTCCGCCCTGGGGGCACTGGCTGCCTGCACTCTCCTCACCCTGTCCCGGACACTCCCTAGGGCACCGCTATACATAAGGAGCAGCTCCTCCAACTCTCTGCTGCTGGCTACCACTAAGATCCACCGCCTGGGCCAAAATGTAACTTAATTGCATGACGAGCACACTGTTATTCTTGACGGCTTTTTTTGTAACAAGACTTTCTCAATGCAGGAAGCTGTCATTGATTTACATTCTGGCAGCAGCCCTTGTCTCGCTGTGACAGGCAATAAACACTTTGTAAAGTGCGGCTGCCCAGTCCACACTCTGAGCACCAGTGCTTGCTCCAGGGCACTGGTCAGGGTTTAGTTTAGAACAGGGAACAAACTGATGCAGACCACTGTTGCAGCCCAGTGAGTCCTACCCGGATAATCAGTATTCCAGAATCCAAAATATCAGGTTTTCTCACTGACTTCTACAGGGCAAACTCAAAGAATTAGCTATGATGGTGAGGTGTGAGACAGGACTCTCCCAGAGACTTCTCTGGGCGAAGCAGGAAGATGGAGGTTACCTGGGGGTGGGGGTGGAGCGATGCCAGGGGGTGGTGGCAGCGCAATGTTCACCACAGCCGGGGGACCACTTGGGGGCAGGTTGAAGTAATTGGCAGAGGCTTCTTCTTCTGCCGCAGGAGGAGGAGGAAGAGCTGGAGGAGAGAAAATTGCCAACTTTAGAAGACAATTCTGCAACACTGATTGTACCACCTTTAAATCCTTCCGGGTCACGGTGGGAGAAGGGAGCTGCCCAGGGGCCAGGCCCGAGTCTCCTCGAACAGTAACCTCAGGGCAGACTGAGCTCCTGACGCAAGCAGGAAGCCTGCACTCACCCCCTGGCAGTCCCGGAACAGGCTCCAGCTTGATCCCAGAGTCTGTGGTTCCATCCTTCTCCTTCTCTTTTCCTCTGGCTGCTTGGGATCTGACACACACGAGCACACAGGACATCAGCAGTTTGTCCCACTGTATTTGATACCTGCTTCTTAGGCTTCTCAAATGGAATTCCTTCACTTTTTGCGTCCTCTTTGACACTCTTTTCCCATAAATGCCACAGTGCAGAGTGGGTCAGAGCAAAGGTTTTGAGACCAGAAAGACCTCCATTCAAAACTTGCTAGAACTAAGCGCTAGCAGAGGCAACGTACGTGTTTAACAGAACACTTAGCAGGCAGGAAACTCTCCATACAAGGAGAGGCTGCTGCTGGCCTTCTCCTCCCTGGTTCCAAGCTAGAGACTTGAGATTAAAATTTAGGTCATTTTTCCTGTGTCTGTCTTATGCAATCATCACTTTCAAACTTAAAATAGCTATTCTCTGTCTTATCATCGTCACTAGACAGTAAGCCTCTAAGGGCAAAAATCTAGGTCTAATTCACAAAAATACAACTCTCTTGCCTTGGCATGATACTTGGCCACAGAAACACAAACCTTCAAAGGAGCAGATCATTACACCAACACCCTGATGCAGTTTCAAAGCAGTACTGTCCCACCATCCCTAAGAATCAGCTCTCTCTCTCAAACACACACACACACACACACACACACACGGAATGAACTTTTAAAGATCTTATTGAAGATCTTGTTGAATTAAGCCTGTTTGTCAAAGGTGCACTAGTCTCCAGATAATGAAACAGTTTCTTGAAAATTGCAATAAAGGGATTTGAAAACTGAATTAACTCTTACCTGCCCCATTTCACATTGAGTCTGCGGCCATTGACAATCAGTTTATTAAAGGACTTCTCAGCAGCCACTTCTGCGGCCTGCCTTGTGGCAAACTGGATAAAAGCACACTGCTGTCTCTGAACAACAGTGATCGTCCGAATCTCTCCAAACTGGTAGAAGTGATTTCTGTGGGGACACAGCAGAGAAAACCAGGAGTCAACAACACAAGACCTTCCCAGGAGCCTGAAATGGAGCCTCAACTCTTTCACTGACTTATCAGTAGGCAGGTGGGCCCTGTGGTTATCTGCTTGGATCACCCCTGTATCCCGCCTTACTGTGGGTGCTGTTAACTGAGGAATGGAATGAGAAATAGTAACAGGGTTCTCAGACGAGTCAGAGTTTCTCCCATGGAGGAAAAGGGGCTCCAACAGATTCCATCAGACCCCAAACCCTGAACTCTAGATAATGGGTTGGCAAACTACAGCTGTCATAGTCCATGAGCCAAGAAAGCTAATAACAACAAACTGTAACGGCTGCAAGAAAAAGAAGAGAGAAATGTGGCAGAGACTACACTGCCCACAAAGCCTAAAGCAGTTACTCTCTAGGCTTTTTACAGAGAAGAGTGCTGAGCCGTGGGGCCTATCGAGCTCACTTTGGAAGGGTTTGATGGAGACAGGCTACCAAGAGCAGATGATAAACCTACAGGAGGTTCTCCTCCACTTTCTCTCTTTGGAAGAGGTCATTTCCATTGCCATCTGCCTAAATGTTTCACGAAGCCAAGCACAATACAAGCCAAAATAAAACAAATTTATCAAATACCCGCTTCTCTCAAAAGCCAACAATTTAAACCATCAGGGTTTTATAATCACAAAGCTCTCCCTCCCCTACATAACCAACCCTGTCTGCAACTGTGCCACCCTTCAAAATTCTCATCACCAACTGGGTCAAACAGAATCCTTCACAACTACTTTCATATGCAAGGATGGAGAAGCACTCTGAGGAACACTACTACTCTGGACTCCTAAAGGGCAATTTTATAGAACCTGGAGTCGGTATGAACTAACGACAGAGTAGCTGAACAACACCACACTGTGTAGAGCCTTCTCACACTTGCCTGTGTCCTTGCAAATAAATTATCCCAGGGCAGTTAGAAGCAAAAAAAAAGAGTTCTTAAAATTATACACACACACCTTAGATCTGTCTCAGTAATGGTATCACCCAGACCCCCAACATAGAGTGTGGTGATGGTCTTGTCCTCTGGTGGGTCCAGACGGGGCATGGTTGAAGCCCGTTTTAGAAGCTTATCCGCTACAGGATCATTGATTCCATAATATCGGTCTTTAATATTCTGATCAGCAAGGGGATCATCTGGATCTGTAGGCTTCTCATGTCTATGATTCAAGAAAAAAACAAGTGTCACGGTGGAAAAAAAAACAAAAAAGTTGGCATTATCCAACAGTAGCTACACATTAAAGTCGTAAATACACACCCTGATACACTTTTTGAACTGGAAATGATGGTCACAGCAAAAAAGTAACAACCCAAACAGAGCCGCGAGGGATTGGCGGTTAGGGACAGACTCCCCAGTCTCCTAGCAGCCGTTTGTAAATGGTTATTTGGGGTGTGAGATTTTCCTTTTACATCAACTATCTTTTGGGAGATGGGGGTTTACCAACTCCAAGTTAACTCCTAACCCAGGTGCTCGGCTGCTTTGGCTCCAACACACCCATGCATCCTTTGCAAGTCTGGTCTTTTTTACTTCAAGTATATGCTGGAATCAGACCCATGACAGTGAGATCTTACTTCTCAGGCAGAAATTTTAGGGTTTGCATCTACATTATACAGCCTAGCAATGCAGTGTCCCCAGGCTCACTCATAAGTAAAATCTTCGATTTAATCAAGCTCCTCTGAATTTAGCGATTTGAGACTTGAGTTCTATCATATTAGTTGTATGAGCTTTACACTTTAAAGCATGTATAATCTCAAACTAGGATCTCCCACTTTTCAGATTATCAATCTTCTGTAAACAAACACCAAAAAGCAGCCCAGGTCTTGCCTGTATGGACATTCCTCGCCTCTTTTACACTCTCCTTTCACCCAGAAGGAACAAATGTGGGGCCGGTTCCGTTTGTAGTAGGGTGTGGTCCGGGCCAGTTTGAGCAGCATGTCACTGGTGGAGGTGGCCTTCCCCAGCATGCCGACTGGCCGTGTCCCATCAGAGTTGGAAATCTATAAAGACACATATATAGACTGAGCCAGTTCATCAGGATTCTTATCAAATATACAACTACAGCAAGAAACTGGCAGCATACTTCTCTCTCCATATTCTGTGTGTAGTACTCTTTGTTGACGTCAGATTTTGGCATGTCATCTTTAAAAGACAGTCCTGCATCACGAACCTGGATGGGCAGGCCTGGTACAAAAGAACAGAGGAACTAGATCCATCAGGTATATTTAAAAACAACAACAACAACAACACAACACCATCCTTCCCTTCTCCACCCTCCTATTTCCACACACTTGATTTTTATTCAAACCCTCAGCACAGAATCTTAAGGAAGCATCTGATATCCCAAGTCATTATGCAATTTGATGAAGTGAATGCTTTACAAAATCTTTTAGATGAACACACTTTGGTTTTAGTCACATTTCACATTTGACCTTTAAATGAATGGTGTATCTAGCTTTTATTACAGTATAATTTGTTTAAAATAAATACTGGCACAGTGACTCTCTGAGCTCAACACACAGAAACTCAGCCATTTTCCAGTTATTCTGAAACAGCAGTAGAGTAACATACTAGTTCTAACACCACCACTGAGATCAAAGTCTAAAGCACACTTAGCCTACGCACATCTGGTCTGGACTGAAGGAAAGAAAGCTTCATTAAGAAAGCAGCCCCAGGCCAGTGCCGCTCAATAGGCTAATCCTCCGCCTGTGGCGCCAGCACACTGGGTTCCAGTCCCAGTTGCTCTTCTTCCAGGCTAGCTCTCTGCTGTGGCCCCGAAGTGCAGTGGAGGATGGCCCAAGTCTTTGGGCCCTGCACCCGCATGGGAGACCAGGAGAAGCATTTGGCTCCTGGCTTTGGATCAGCGTGGTGCGCCGGCCGCAGCGGCCATTGGGGGGTGAATCAACAGAAAAGGAAGACCTTTCTGTCTCTCTTTTGTCTAAGAAGAAAAAAAAAAAAAAGCAGCCCCAGGCATAGGATCAACGCCTTGTACCTCAGCTTGGCTACAGAGATGGAGACACAGGCCAGTTCTGGTTAATTCCTTGCTTTCCCTTACAGTTTCTACTGTTGTCAGGAGCACTCTAGAATGGCCTGATTATAGCTCTCTTGTTGGGAAAAGTGGACTACGGGCCACATTCCATGGTGGAACAGAACCAGAGGCAGGGTGAGAAGCAGGAGACCAAAAGTCCAGCTTGTTTAGGACCCCTGACTGCACTGAGAGCCACACGACTGGACAGGGCAGACCTACCATACTCGAGGTCCAAGAGGCAGGTCTGACAGACATTCTTCAATTTACTGCAGGTCTGGCACACTTCAGTCTTCTTGAAACGCATGCGGACCCCAGGGCACCAGCGGAACACAGTGAATGGCCTGGCACAGATCTGGAGCACAAAGAAAGTGACAATATCAATCCAGGCTCAGATAATCAACTCATAAATTCATGGAGGATTCAAGAAAGGACCCCAAAATCTAGGGTTTAGAAGATGCTGTACCAGCCATTTAAACTAAAGGAGATCTAGTATTTCAATCTAATTTACAGCACCCCTTCCTAGTCATTGAAAAAAAACAAAAACACAGTACAGGAATGAAATATCCAGAAAGTCAAAGTCCCTCCACCAGAGGTACTATTAATAATCCAAGCCTTAAACTTTTCGGGGGGAGGAACAGGAGCATCATTCAATCCTTTCTAACTTCCTCCTTCACTAAGACACTCATGGTTATCCAACATCTGGTATACAAAACAGACCATTCAATGCCCATCCATGAACACCCGGTTAGAGTGCTCATCTTCTTACCTTCCAGACCAAACTGTTACCAGTCAGTGAAGACGTAAGTGATCTAAGAAAGCCCTGAAGCACTCACTTTTATGGAGGACCTCAGAGCTTGATAAATGAGGGCTGGTTTGGGACAGAAAAGGAAACTATAATGAAATCATTACTCTTTAACAAACATACTTACTTTGCATTCCTTTCCATACTTTTCTTTGGTCTGAAATAGAAAAAATACAGCTAGAATTATACAGAAAAAGAACCAGATATCTATTCTTTCCATAAATACAACCAAGAAAAGTATCTAGAGATCTCTGGCATCTTAAAAAAAAGGGGGGAAAAAATCTTTGTAAGGAAACAGGATGCTTGGGGCTATAGTCAAGCAGTTACTATGTATCACCCTCAAGGGTCTTTGGATCTGTTACCAGGCAAGTGGGTGTGTTTCCAGAGCTGTAACTCTTGGGTTCACTTTGCTCTCAAGTTTGCTTCCAAGAACTAAAGTTCCTATCGGCTTCCACAGACCCCACATCAGGGAGGAAGCGGCCACAACCAGCCTATTTTAGGAAGTTTAGCCAGAAGGTAGCCTCACCTGGGGCTGCTGCCGGCACACCGTAACCGTCCCATTCCCATGAGCTATTCCAACACCACAACAGTATGGGCAGCTAAGTATCTCCGAGACCCATCACAGTACTCCAGCCCTAACCTAACCACGGTTAACTGTCGCCAGCTCTACTCTCACTCATAAGGCTAAAGGGTACCTCCCACTGGAGAGACTACCAGGCCAGGGGACAGGCCACAGGCTCCGAACGAGGAGTCAGAAAAATCTCGTTTCTAGTCCTGGTTCTCCCCCGCACTTACTGAGGTTCTTGGGGGCAGCCCCACCCCTACTCGCTATTTGAAAACACAAACTCTGCCAGCTCCTGCTCCCAGACCCCCTCCCAGGGTCGGTGCCCGGATACCCGCTGCTGTTAGGACTGTCAAGGAGCAGGATCACTGCTGGGCTCCCAAGTGAGCGCACAGGCACAGCAGTCCTGTGGGATGGTAACGGAGCTTCGTCTCCTCCGCCGAAACACCCCACAGCCGCTGAGCAAGGACCACACCGCCGCCACAAGAACAACCCAGCCCCCCGCCACACGCCATCGCTCACCATTCGGATATACGGATTTTCTCCAAGACACGTCTGGCACAGAATGGGGAAGTCCTGGCGAGAACGGGAGATCTGGTTGAGGACCCGGTTCCGAGGCCCCGGCCCCACCTCAGCCACGGCCGTGGGGGGAGGGGACGGGCGGGGAGCGGGAGCCGGGATCGCCAGGTCAGGAACCCGAGGGCGGCCAGCACGGGCCCGGCCGCGGGAGGGGGCGCTGTCTGCACTTCCGGCGGGCGGCGAGAGGGCAGATAACCAGCGGGGCAATGTTGGACGAGCCACGGATGGACACGAGGCCGGTCCCGGGACCCCGTCCTCCCTCCAAGCCGGCAAGAGGGCCGCCCTCCAGCCTCCTGCACCGGCCGAGCTAGGCCGCGGCGCTGCCTCCTGCCCGGAATTCCCTGGGCCGCACCGCAGCCCCGCGTCCAGCCCGGCCCGCACAGGGCACGGCTTCTCCGCCCTCCGCCCTCCGCACACTCACCGCATCCTCCCAGTTCTGCCTGTTGTAGGTGTTGGAACCCAGCGAGGTCGCCATCTTGAGCGCGTCCCAGAGGCAGCGGTAGCTTCCGAGTTGGGAGACAGGACCGCCACAATCCCGTCAGGCTTGGAGGCTGGCGCCGGCCCTGATGACGTCTTATTTACGCGTCCGGTGCCGCCCAGGAATCGTGGCCTTTACGTCATGACGTCGCCCGCTCTTGCACTGTCTTCGCTTAGCAATTGGGGTCGTGGTGTGCTGCTCTATGAGGCTGCGTGTGAGTACGTGTGAATTTCGGAGGAGGAGCCAAAAGGACAGTTAATTTAAAAACTGGGCCGAAGAATAAAGGGGCAAGTAATGAGTGAGGGGCTGGGTTTCAAGCAGCGTGAGTAGCACTGAGCACTCAGTACGGCAAACGCCGGGCGTTTCATTTAATTCTCACCGAAATTTCGTGGGGGATTTGCCAGGTTTAGCAAACAAAAACACAACTCTAGTGAGGTTGCGTTTCAGATAAACACCGAATCACATGTGTCCAAGACACACTTAAAACGACTCGTCGTTTATCTGAAATTTCACATTTAGCCGCGTGTCCTGTTTCATCTGTATCCGTGTCCCCTAGGCAAGTATGCTGACCTCTCTTTTATAGAAAAGGACACGAAGGTTTTGAGAGATTAGTCACCGGCTCCTGCTTGCGGAGGTAAAAAAATGGTGCAGGCACAATGCCCATGTTGGCCTTGCTTTTCCAGCGTCTGAAGTGAAAAGGATCTTAGAGTCAGCACTGCAGTTACTTCGTTCATACTTTCAACCGGCCTTTTTATTACTTATTTATTCATTTGAAAGCAGAGTTACAGAGAGGGAGGGAGAGATGGAGAAATTCTTCCACCTACTGGTTCACTCCCCAAATGGCTACAACTGATGGAGCTGAGCTGATCCAAAGCCAGGAGCCGGGAGCTTCTTCTGAGCCTCCTTCAAGGGTGTAGGGGCCCAAGCATCTTCCGCTGCTTTCCCAGGCGCATTAGCAGGAAGCTGGACTAGAAGTGGAGCAGTCAAGACTCAAACCTTGAGTCATTGTTCCCAAAGACAGTTTCTCGTACAGACAGACTGGTTCAGCCTCCCGAAGTAGCTCCCCCGCAGAACTCTTCCTTCTCCTGTGGGAGTTTGTTCCTGCTCCCCTCCCTAAAACCAGCCCCACCTCTTAGCACTCTATCTCGCCCTCTTACTTGTTCAAGGATGTCACATCAGTGATTCCTTCTTCTGCTGTCCTTTACGGCAACACTGCTGCAGTTCCTCCTGTTCTCCGCTGCGCCCATTCAGGTTAGGGCGTTGCACCCAGCACTTCATCCACACTGTGAAATGCGTCAGTCAGCAGGCACCTACGTCATCTTTCCGTACCTACCATCTGTCAGTTGACCTTTCCCTGGAAAGGCTTTGCTCACTTGGTTTCCGGAACACAACCCTCCTTTCTGTATCCTCTGAGTTCTTTGCCACGCGCCCAGTCTTGCGGCGTTCCAGGTCTCTTCTTGCATATCCGTCCTTCCTCTCTACCCTCACTTTTGTAGTGTCAGGTCCTGGTTCTCGTGCCATCTCCGCATTTAAATACCATTTCTGGAGTATTTTTTCAAAGTCCAAAAACCACTCTGAATTTTCTCTCACCATATCTGCCTTTCCTATGTGGTCCTTAACTAAACAGCAGCCGCATCCTTTGAGTTGCTCCCATAAACCTCAGCTCTGCTCACAGACCACACCCCGTGAGTCAGCACATCCTGCCAGCTCTACCTTCAAACTAACCACAGCATCCCCTAAGTGACCACCCTGGGCCCGGTCACCACCATCTACTTATGACCCAAGATAATCCTCACAGGACACATACACTTGCCTCCTCGAGAAAAACCCAGGGCCCTGCCCTGCACCATTGCCTTAGCTTTCAACACCCTAACCAGGGTGATTAAGTCATTTCTCTGCTTAAAAATCTTTGAGGGGCCAGCATGTGGCATAGTAGGCCAAGCCTTGGTCTGCAATGCCAGCATCTCCAGTTCAAGTCTCAGCTGCTCCACTTTCAATCCAGCTCCCTGCAGATGCAACTGGGAAAGCAGTATCAGATGGCCCAAGTACTTGGGTTCCTTAACTCATGTGGGAAACCCAGAAGCAGCTCCTGGCTCCTGGCTCCTACCTTCAGCCTGGCCCAGGCCTGGCCATTACAGCCATTTGAGGAGTGAACCAGCAGATAGAAGATCTCTCTCTCCCTCTAACTCTGCCTTTCAAATAAAAAAATAAATCTTTACATTACATGGGTTTGGACAAAGGGATAACGATGTGTATCCCCCGCTATAGTATTTCAGTCGTTCATCACCCTAAAATTCCTCCCTCCTGTCCCCCAACCCCTGGCAGTCACTAATCTTCGCACTGTCTCCTTCCTCTTCCAGGATGTCCCAGTTGGAGTCATGCTGCTCGTAGCTTGTTCACACTGGCTTCTTTCACTTAGTAATGTGTATTTCAGGGTTCTTCATGTCTTCTCTTGGATTTATAGTTCATTTTTAAAAAATATTTTGAGAGAGAGTCACAGAGAGAGAGAGGGAGAGATAGAGAAGAAAGGTCTTCCATCTGCTGGCTCACTCTCCCAATGACCGCAACGGCCAGAGCTGGGCAGATCTGAAGCCAGGAGCCTCTTCCAGGCCTCCCCCATGGGTGCAGGGTCCCAAGCACTTGGGCCATCTTCCACTGCCTTCCCAGGCCATAGCAGAGAGCTGGATCGGAAGATGAGCAGCCAGGGCATGCACTAGCGCCCATGTGGGATGCCAGTCCTCCAGGCGGAGGCTTAGCCCACCACGCCACAGCCCCTGCCGCTCAGCTCATTTCTTTTGCGTAGCAGTTGATCTGTTTTCTGATACACACTATGCTGCCTTTTATCCAAAATCTGACTTGCTTTGTGCTTTCCTGTTCTTATTTTGGTGTTTTCTCTACCTGGAAAACTTGCCTTTCTCTGTGTCTTCCAGGATTACTTTCTGCTCCCATCTGCCTCTCCGGAGAATTTCTTTCTTCCTTGCACTTTGGGGTTTTCCATGTGTTTAGCTCCTTTACTGGGCTGCAAACTCCTCGAAAACTAACCAGGCCCCTGCCTCATCTGCCTCTGTGCTCGATTCAAAGACCAGCCTAGAGGACTGGCATTGTGGCACAACAGGTTAACACTGTATTGCAGTGCCAGCTGGAGTCCCGCTGCTCTGCTTTTTTTTTTTTTTTTTTTTTTTAAGATTTATTTATTTATTTATTCAAAAGTCAGAGTTACACACAGAGAGAGAGGTCTTCCATTCAATGGTTTGCTCCCTAGATGGCCACAATGGCCGGAGCTGCGCTGATCCGAAGCCAAGAGCCAGGAGCTTCTTCTGGGTCTCCCACGCGGGTGCAGGGGCCCAAGGACTTGGGCCATCTACTGCTGTCCCAGGCCATAGCAGAGAGCTGGATTGGAAGAGGAGTAGCCGGAACTAGAACCAGCACCCATGGGACAGGGCATTAACCAGCTGCACCACAGCGCTGGCCCCGGCTGCTCTGCTTCCGATCACAGCTCCCTGCTAATGCACTTGGAAGGGTAGCACGTGATGGGCCAACTACTTGGGCCCCTGCCAATCATGTAGGAGACCCGGATGGAGTTCCTGGCTCCTGGCTTCGCCTTCCCAGCCTCAGTTGTTGTGGGTATTTCTCAAGAGCAGTTCCTGTTACAGCAAGGTGAGGGAAACTTCTGCCCTAGAAAGGACAAGACTCAGTCCTGGCCCACAATTCTGCACCACCACTATTGAAGGTCTCCTCCCACTGTGGAAGTAAGACAGCAACTCTTTCCCAAGACCAGCCACAGGGCCGCGCTGTAGCAGAGGGCAAAGCTGCTGCCAGCGATGCTGGCATCCCTTATGGGCACTGGTTTCAATCTCAGTTGCTCCACTTCCCATCCAGCTCGCCACTAACGCACCTTGGGGAGGGGGTGGGGCAGCAGAGGATGGCCCAAGTGCTTGGACTCCTGCACTCAAGTGGGAGACCAGGAGGAAGCTCCTGGCTTTGGACCAGCTGTTGTGGCCATTTGAGGAGTGAACCAGCACATAGAAGATCTCGATCTCTCTGTGTCTCTCCCTCTCTGTAACTCCGCCTTTCAAACAAATAAAGTAAATCTTTTAGAAAAAGACCAAGACCAGCTACAGATACAAGTCAGAGCAAACAGGCAAGAATGCTGAGAAAAGGCCCATTCCTAAGGCCCAGGTGCACAGGGCCTACCAGAGCCTGAGGCGGAACTGAAACCCCTTTATTCCTCCTCTACTACCAGCCTTGCAAACAGCCAGTAACAAGCATCATTGCTGGAGGGTGGGCAAGGGCACAGAAAGAGACCACTGTGCAGGTGTGAAGGACAACTACGAGCCAAGGATGAGGCACGGAGACTTAAGCTCTTCAGCACCAACTCAAAGCACAAAATAATGCTGGACTGTGTGAAATCCATGTATTAAAGGCAATCACAGCAAGAACTAAAGCCAAGTCCAGCTTGGTTCCTTACTATTGGCCAAACCCCGCACAAAGGGCCTGATGCAAGAAGCCTGCCCACTTCCGAGCATTAACTATTCACCTCAAGTCTACTGTCAGAGAGCCCATGACTGGCATTCAAAATTCAAAATTAGGACATGCAACACAAGAAACCAAGCCATTTTTCATAGACAAAGCAACCCACAGGACCATACACAGAAATCACCCAGATGTTTTCAAATCTTGGGTGAGGACTTCGATTAACCTGTTTAATAGTTGAGGGGCTGGTGCTGCTGCATAGCGGGTAAAGCCACCTGCAGTGCCGGCATCTCATATGACCATGTAGGAACAGACATGTATCAGTAGACAGGGAGAAGCTACATGCATGAAACAAACAGCAAGAGGGCAAGGGCGAGTGCTAAGAGGTAGGGCTGGTTTCAGGTGGGAGAGCAGGAATAAATCCATGCACAAGAGAGGGAAGAGCTCCGTGGGGAAGGTAGATGAGGAGGCTGACCCAGCTTGTGTGAGAAACCATCTTTGGGAGCAATGACACAGGCTAACAGCAACACTGATGTGCGTCTGAGAGCGCAGGTACAGAGCAAGCATCTCCTCCCTGCAATGTTACAGTCAACTAACCTGATCCGAGGATTTCGCACAGTCACTTCAAGAGGCGGAAGGAAGCACGCCACTGGCTCTCAGAGAGCAACTCCTGTGACTCCAGGCACCTCCGGACTCCGCCCCATGCTGCTTCCCACCCATCTTCAAGAAACCAAACAGGAGACACACGCAAGCTTTGTCTGCTTTATTTCACTACATTAACTTAAGCAGTAAGGCAAACAGTAACCTGTCCTTCGTAAAGATCAGGGAGTACCTCTCACTCCCCAAAGGGACCGACGAGGAGGCTTCTTCACAAACACGGATGACACGGAGCTCATGATGCCTACACTTTAAACAAAAGACTTTGGTGGGTGAACCAAACACAAACCCAGATTACCTTAGCCTTAAGTTTCCCAAATTATAGTTTCATGAGCTGATGATGCCTAACTCCTGAGGGGGTGTACACCGACTAGCATTACAAAGCTTGCATCTGACCTAATACAAAAAAGGCAACAAATTCCTAATTCACCAGCTGCAATTACTGAACCATTTCTACAAACACACAGAATGCCAGCTTGTACTATAATCTATCTTGAGGAAATATTAAACCAACGCGAGTTATTCTGCAAGTTAATTTGACTTCTGAGGGGGAAAAACTATGACCAGAAGTGTTTGTGTGGTGTCCCATGGCAGTGATGAGACCGTTACTTAAACATTATTACTTCTGGGAACAAGAGTAATGGCTACAGCCCACAAAGGCACGCCATACAGCCGTGCACCCGTCACAGGCTTGTGAGCACGTGACGCTGTCCTCTACTTGATGCCTGCTTCCTCCAGTGGCAGACACGGACCAGTGGTTTCATGGCAGGCTCTGGCAGGCAGTGAAATAAAACTCAATTCCACACTCTGTGGGGTTACACAACATTAAGCTGTTTCTGTCACCTGTGAACTTGTAGTCACCCATTCCCCTGCCCCAACTCCTAAGAGGCCAAACGTTATTTACTGTGACTCTGTTATTAGGTGCGAATGTTTCGCACATTGCAGCATATATATTACTCTATGGGAACATTGTTTCATAAAGTCGCCTTGACCTTAAAGAGTACAATTTAGTGTCTTTGAGAGCCTCCTAAATATTTTCATCTTTCAAGGGGAGCTGAAATGGACTGAATTCTATCTTTATTGTATATTACAATATATCTTTTTATTTTTTTAAACTAAAGACTTAAAAACAAAACCAGCACAAACCAGAAATTTCTAACTCACAAGTCCACTGACCACTTCCAATACTTTTAAAGAAAATGTGGTGCAGCTGGTGGTCTACTTTGTCAAGTTCATTTTAGAAAACAACACAGAAATTAAGGTTAGCAAGCCAACTCCAGAATTCCAAGAGAAAACAGGATGTCTGCTGTTAGGCCAGGATTCTAGGATGCTTGCTGAACTACTTTATGGATTACAATCAAAATGGTCTTTCTTGGACACACCATATGACAAAAGTTTAAAATTTATTAAGGGGAAAAGCTCTTTTCCTTAATGTCCAGCTTTGGATTCAGATAATATAATTTCCCCTTCAAATCAATGGAAAGAACATTAGTTCAGATCATGCTAAAAAGAAATCTTTCAAAATGTTTCCAGAAGTGACTGTCCACAGAAGTTTTCTTTGGGCTCTTTACCAGCTTCAAATTCTCAGAACACTTTACTGGGTTAAACAGGCAGAGCAGAGGCAGGGCAGGGAGTAGACAGAGCCTGCCTCCCTGTGGCAGCACCCGTCTCTGGATACTGTGGCAATATTTCAAATGAGTGGGCTACGGCCATACCACCCTGAACGCACCAGAGAACCTGCCACCCCTCCCACCCCCTGACATGACATGTAATTGCTTGCCTCTAAGATCCATCTCAAAAGTTCAGTATTTTACCAGGAAAAAAATTTAAGTGCAACTGGTTAAGTGTTCTGTATTCAGTTAGAAGAGGGTGAATCGAAGTGCCTTAAGAATTCCACAGGCTTCTCCAATCAGCACGACAGTGAAGAGAAGGTGACCTTTTTTGTCAAATGGAACCTATGGCACGACGGGAGCCACGAGAGCAGGGGGAGGGCATGTTGCAGACTGCCAGACCCCACTTCATGGAACACAGAGAGCAGGCGGGACACTGAGACCCACGTGGGAGCACCGACGGCAGCTCCACCTTTATGCTATCATTTTTCACGTCATCGTCACTCTGTGATCCTTAGTGAGATCAGGTCAAGAGAGGGAACGGTCAGAGTTTCTCAGGTGACAAATCTAACGGCCACTCCGAGAAATATCTCCTTCAGTGGGATGCAACTATGTTGTTATTCAACGTGCAGGGCTCAGTGGTCAACGGAGGCGAGAGCAAGAGGCCCAGCAGTCACCCTGCTCTCCTGAGGCCTGGCCACTGCTCCCACTGCTGGGGAACGGACTCAGGAGTGCAGGGGAACATGGTTACACACAAGGCCTAGAGAAGCAGCGGCTGCCACATCGTAGTGTGAGCTGGTAGTGACACTGTCCTTTGCGATCTGCCCACCCCTGGAAATTTTTAAGGAAGAAGCGGGCCCAAGCTGAGTTCCACATGCTGGGTGAGCCAGATGATTTCAGTGCTCTGGTCACTTTCTTCAATGGGCCGGATAGGGTTTGTCAGGTTTTTAAAATCGTGTTTCATCTTGAAGCACACGGTCACTTCGCCTTCCTCACGTTGTGGGGTGACTTTGATGAAAATACCCACTTTGTTGGCCTTTCTGAAGGCTATAATGCTATGGAAAGAAATAAGCACAGAATTAGACAGGTCATAAGCCAGCCAGACCACCCAGACCTACAGTCATGTTTTACAGCACAACAGGCCATCTCCGACAAGATGTGGCCACCATCCTGTTTCCAAGCAACAAAGTTTCTAGCAATGATGCTGACCCCTTCTATTTCCTTAACATCACAGAAGCAAGCAGACTTGTAAAAAAGTCAAATGAGAAATAGTCTTTCCCCTGATTCTTCCATTCAGCTCGTAAGAAAAAAAATGAATTAGTTTGGTTCTGAACCGACCAGGTATTTTGCTACAAGCTTACAATGTTCTTTCAACCAACATAAATGGAACACATGATTCTGTTGCTTTTCCACTCTGTTTAAAACATTTCCAAAATGGTATATACAGCTCAGCCACATTCTAGTTACTGGTTGCATAGCATTCAACCATCTATTTACCCTGCTCGGCACACACTGAGGCTGTTGTCAATTTTTCTCTCTTGTAAACAACGGGGCTGCACGTTTACCTCTGTGCACACGTGGCAGTTTTTCTACAGGATCTAAACTGCTACTGTGGGAAGACTTAATAACTCAGAGCTTTAAAGGAATTTCTGGAACACTGTAAACCAGTGTTTAGAAATGACCTACATAACAGGAATATTTAGAAAAGTCTCTTCAGTTAGTGTTTCCATTTGTTTGCTCTCATTGGCACTTGAAGTGTGTGCTTTAATAACTTAGCTTCAAAAGTAAATGGGCCGAATGGTACACACTCGAAGAAGTTACTGGAATTAAACAATTACATAATTAGACAGTATTACAAGGTATTAATTTCCACATATCTGAAATTTCCTTAAGGTATAACTATGTGAAACAGAGTGGTTTTTTGTTTTGTTTTGTTTTGTTTTTTGACAGGCAGAGTGGACAGTGAGAGAGACAGAGAGAAAGGTCTTCCTTTGCCGTTGGTTCACCCTCCAATGGCCGCCGCGGCTGGCGCGCTGCGGCCGGCGCACCGCGCTGATCCGATGGCAGGAGCCAGGAGCCAGGTGCTTTTCCTGGTCTCCCATGGGGTGCAGGGCCCAAGCACCTGGGCCATCCTCCACTGCACTCCCAGGCCACAGCCGAGAGCTGGCCTGGAAGAGGGGCAACCGGGACAGAATCCGGCGCCGGGACCGGGACTAGAACCCGGTGTGCCGGCGCCGCTAGGTGGAGGATTAGCCTAGTGAGCTGCAGCGCCGGCCATGAAACAGAGTTTTTAAAAAATTAATCCGTCATGTAATCAGACTGGAATTTGGTGTCAGATGATATTTCCAGAAGCTTGCAGATTTCCACATCTAAATAATGTAATTCAAACACACATAGAGCAGGGGTTTCAGAGCAGCACTCTGAACTGTACTAACTCAATACATTCTACGTACATTAGCTAACACGTGTAAGACTCACGTAAAAAAAAAAAAATCTGTTAGTAATAGTAAGAAGGAAAAGGCTTTTTCCCTATCCTTAATTCCTCAGATAACCACTGATATTTGGGCAGCTTTTTTTTTTTTTTTTTTTTTTTTTTTGAAAGGCAGACAGTGAGAGAGACAGAGAGAAAGGTCTTCCTTTGCCATTGGTTCACCCTCCAATGGCTGCTGCGGCCGGTGCACCGCGCTGATCCAAAGCCAGGAGCCAGGTACTTATCCTGGTCTCCCATGGGGTGCAGGGCCCAAGCACTTGGGCCATCCTCCACTGCACTCCCTGGCCACAGCAGAGAGCTGGCCTGGAAGAGGGGCAACCGGGACAGAATCCAGCGCCCCAACCGGGACTAGAACCTGGTGTGCCGGCACTGCAAGGCAGAGGATTAGCCTAGTGAGCCGCGGCGCCAGCCGTTGGGCATCTTTTTAAAAAACTAATTCAAATTTCTAGTCCCCAGCTAAACCCACTGAAGTGACCCTCTGATATGGGGGTCTGGGACGCGACAGAAGCAACAAAACAGCCGCCTGGCACTGAGTTAATGCATGTCTGCTATCACAGTGCTCGTCTCACTCTGGCCTTCCTGTGATCTCCAGGCCATCTCATGTCGTCCCTTCTCTCCATTCTCTGCCGCGGGAGCTTTGGAACATTCTGTTAGAATATCTTAAATGCTCCCCGTGCTAGTTTATTAACTGTGTTTTACTCCTTCAAGCTCCTCTTTGCATCTTGCTTGCTGACACTGGATTGTGTTAAATCCATTTCTTCCTTGTAGGCTGGCTCCCTGTCAATTTCTGTCAACAGGGGACTCTACAGGGAGCCCCGAGGCCCGGTGCAGAGGACCAGTCTGGCTCCCCCTTTTGAATTTCCCATTTGCTGTGGCTCCTGTGGGCATCACTTCAGCACTGGGTCTTCACCCAGAAAGTGGGAGTATCCAGTGGCAGTATTCTCATTTCTTGTATAACTAGCTGTCCAGCTACTCCCCCTTGTGCCGCCCAGAGATGCCAGCATCAGGCAGTATCCTCTAGCTCACCTCCCTGGAGCCCATGGGGCTCCTCCTTCAAGCTTCTAAATTAAAAAAAGAAGAAAAAAAATCAAGGATTTATTGAGTTGAGAAGCAGAGAGAGAAAGCTCCACCTGCTGGCTCACTCCTCAAAGCCTGCAATGGCCAGGGGGTAAAAGCCAAGAACCAGGAATTCAATCCAGGTCTCCCTAGTGGGTGGCAGAAACCCAATCAGTTGGGACATCACCACTGCCTCCCAGAGTCTGCGTTAGCAAAAAGTGGGCATCAGCAGTCAGACATCAAACTCAGGTCCTCTGATGTGGGATATGCGTGTCCCAACCAGCATTTTAATCATTAGGCTAATGCCTGCCCCAACCATTCTTTTTAAATTCTCTGTACCAAGCACTGGAAATCCTAAATGATGCATTCTCCAACCAGGAGAAGTTTCATTTTTTTCCTTCTCAGTTATTGAATAGGAGACAGTAAAAATTTTTTTTTGACAGGCAGAGTGGACAGTGAGAGAGAGAGAGAGAGAGAAAGGTCTTCCTTTGCCATTGGTTCACCCCCCAATGGCCGCCGCGGCCGGCGCACTGCGCTGATCCAAAGCCAGGAGCCAGGTACTTACCCTGGTCTCCCATGGGGTGCAGGGCCCAAGCACCTGGGCCATCCTCCACTGCATTCCCTGGCCACAGCAAAGAGCTGGCCTGGAAGAGGGGCAACTGGGACAGAATCCGGCGCCCCGACCGGGACTAGAACCTGGTGTGCCGGCGCCGCAGGCGGAGGATTAGCCTAGTGAGCTGCGGCGCCGGCCAGGAGACAGTAAAATTTATTAGTTCTCTAATGAGGTGCAGGTGGAGGACAAACCCAGTGATGATCTACAGGGACAGAATATTGTATCCTGTCCACAACTGTTAAAAATTATATACTTGAAATTTTTGGTTAACATGGGAAAATATGTTTAAGGTTTATTTTGAAAAGCAGAGTGACAGAGAGAAAGAGAGATACACAGATTGATTTTCTATCTACTAGTTTACTCCTATTAAATGCCCACAACAGCTGGGGCTGGGCCAGGCTGCAGCCACCAGCCATCCTGGTCTCCTGTGTGGGCGTAAGGGACTCAAGTACTTGATGCATCATTTGTTGCCTCCCAGGCTCATTAGCGGGAAACTAGATGGGAAGCGGAGTAGCCAGGACTTTACCAGGTACTTTGATATGGGATGCAGGCAGCTCACAGGTAGCTTAATGTGCTGTGCTATAACACTTACCCTAGAAAAAATAATTAAGTAAAAAAATAAGAAAAAGAAAAAGGGTGAAAAAAAAAAAAAAACCCTACATTTAGAGAATGATCCCAGTGACCAAAGAAATATCTGGAAGGACAAGCACCAAAATGTTAATGACTTTATTCCTGGTGATGAGGCATTTTTTTCTTCATGGTTTTGTATATGTCTCACACATTTTCTACAGTAATTATTTTATAAACAGAAAGAAAAAAAGGTTATTTTAAAAAAACCTAGATGAGAAAACCAGGATATATAAGTGGGCCATTTGTGGTGCAGGGGTCACAGGAAGATTACTCACTCAGGATCATCCTGAAAGTCTTGAGGTTCTGCCAACTCATCGTACTCTGCTGCTGCGTCCTTGCCAGCCAAAACGAGCTCTTTGGGAGGCACCACCACCTGAACAGCAACACAGAGAGGCCAACCTCAGGATCCGTGGGGTGGATATTCATGCGAGGGAATACATGTAGAAGTGAACAGCGCATTCTAGAATGCACGCAGCATTGTACTACAAACACAGAGTTTAGAAGCCTGTTGTTTAGGAAGACAGACATTTGTAATAAAAGAATAAGAACAAGTAAATTTAAGGGAATGTTGAAGTCAAATGAAGTGTTTCACAGGGGAATTCATCTGGGAAGAGAATATGGTGCTTCTCTACTGTTTTTATTTATATGTGCTTAATGTTTTATTTCTTAATGGGAGGGCGACTATGTGGGTGTTTGATTATTCTATGTTTTGGTACATTTGAAATAGATTATCATATGTTTTCCTTATTTATTTCATTTATTTGAAAGGCAGAAAGAGCAAGAGAATGAGATATCTCTCACCGCTTACTGACTCCCCAAATGTCCCTAACAAGTGGCGATGGGGCAGGCTGAAGCCAGGAACTCAAACCAGGTCTCCCACGTGGGTGGCAGGGACCCAACTACTTGAGTCAGCACCACTGCCCTCCTACAGCACACATTAGCAGGAAGGTGGAATCGGGAGAGGAGCTGGACTCGATCCCAAGTACTCCGACATTAGATGTGCATGAGAGCCATGCGGCATCTTAACTGCTACACCAAATGCCTGCCTCAGTTTACCACATTTTAAGAAAAGAGAACACACAGGAGAAACAATTCCCACATGGTATTTTCTGACATAGGGATTTATGGTTATAGAAAAGGGTAAGGCATTGTTCAGGCTTATCCTCTTGTAATTAGGCCTCAACTCGGTATAAGAAATGAACAGGTAACAGTGTCAGCCAAATTTCTCATCATGGAAACAAATGTGGCAGGGGAGGTATAAAGAGAAGAAGGCAACACATTCATAAGCTGGGCATATGTGTCAGGCTTATTTCTGTCTCTGTCATCATTGGAGCTGTTTATTATGGTTACTTAAGAAAAGGAGTAGGGAAGATGTGTTATTTCTCTTTCAAGCTGTTGCTAGTTTGAAAAAAAAAAAGAAGAAAAACAGAAAAAGGTGTTAGAAGCATTCTCTAACAACAGTACCTTGATAACAGCTAGAAACACTCTCCAACAAGAGTGTCTGGATAACAGCTAAGTAGAGATACAGGCATCTTTTGTACCAGCTTTTGCTATAAGGACCATGCTGAGTTATGAATCAGTCATAAATAACCTAGAGAAAAGTCCTCCTAAAATTCCAAGTCCTACATGAATCACTGAGTAGAGTAAAATACAAAGAGGCCCCATGTCATTCATTCAGTTAACACTTGCTAAGAGTCAAAACTGCCCATTTCAACACCGAGTGAGTACTATGCATTTTCTTTATAAGCAGAGGAAATCTGGAGGAGGCATCGGCTTTGAAAAGGAGCTTCATACGGGTCCTGAAGAGTGGACTGGGAGACTGCAAAGGCAGGGGGAGGGACTGGGATCAGAAGGGGGCACTGTAAGTAAAATGACAGCATATGCAATTCTCCTTCTGAAAATGAAAATGCAACCCACTGGCTCCACCTGAATCACAAGCATCAACACAGAGTACTTTAAAAAGTTCATGGAAAAATGGAAAGAAAAGATGTTTATTTTGCTGCAAAAGAATCTGAAACCCATGCATACTTTCCCATATTATGCATTTCCACAAACTTTTTAAAGATTTCTGATTTGGGGAATGCTAAATCTGAATGTGTAAAGCAAGGTCATCAAGGAGCTGATCTGCTAGGCCGAAGAATGTGGACTTTACCCAGAGTCAGAGAGAGGCTAAGTGCTCAGCTTGCCACGCACATTTCAGCAAGTTCATGCTGGGAGCTGCCGGGGAGGGGTGGGGTTACTAACACAGAGAGCTCAGTTAGCGAGTTACTGCACAGTCCAGCTAAGAAGGGCTGAGGCCTTCAGACAGGGCAGTGGCAGTGCGTTTCAGGACACAGTGAAAGTCAGGAGGTGGAGTCAAAAACCTACTAACTAGGAGTGGAAGAGAGACTGGCGTCTTTCAGCGAGGTCAAATGAGGCCAAGCAGGCAGTGTCAGGGGCGGGCAGGATGACGTAACACAGTACCTTAGCAGTGCTACTGACATCATCGGGGTCCCCATCCTCGCACTCCAGCAGGGTCACGTGGGTGAGGTTCTCCACGGGGTTCGTCAGAGTCAGAAGCACCTGGCTCTCCTGGGGAATAAGAAAAGCATCTCATACACGTGCCATGGGGGCTACCCAGGTCACTCTCCCAGCTGCGAGTTCACACAGTCCTCCTCCTCCCCTGACCCCTGAGCCAGGATACTGCCTGCACTGCTGCCTCACTGCCACATCGTGGTGCCTACTGACCCTTCTTCTGTTACCTGCGTTAGGCTATTTAACACGCTCCAGAGTTACTATTTCCGAGGAAATCAGACAGACCCTGGGAAGGTGTCAGGTACTAGATCTAGAAACCCTGAGGAACGTACATTATCTGAGTGGTTGTTATCAGTTCACAGTTGTTGTCCCAGCCAGGCTGCCACTTAAGGACTAAAAAGAAGGAAGCCCTCATAAATTAAAATGTGGGAGCCACAGGCCAGCCAGAAATATTAACATAGAAAAAAACGGCACACCAAAATGATAAAAACTTTAAGACTTCTTAAGCCACGACGACTTGCCCTTGTTCGACACTCTACTGAGATCAAAAAAAAATCTTTACAATGAAGGACTCCAGGAATGTCAAGACAAAGGCTGAAGAAGCTGCTGTGGCATATTCTACAGTTCACATGGTGGAGGGGTAGGGGAGAGGTGGAGGCCAACTCCAAGGAAGAGACGGGCTGCGGTTAGGAAGTCACTGCCCATGTGAGGTGGTGGAGCAGTGCGTAAGGTGCTTGTGGGGACAAACATCATCTTTCTTTCTTCCACCTATGATTCTACCTTTACTTAATGTGCACTCTGCTTCCTCTACATACGTTTCAAAGATGCTATTGGCAATAATCCCAGTTTAAAAGCATTTAAAGCCTCAATCCTTTTATTTTCCCAACTGTGTTCTATTCCTTGCTCATTGTATTCCATGCCACAAAAGCATACAGTTATCCACATGGGCATCTGCACACAGCATCAATCAATCAATCAATCAATCGATCAATCAATCCTTTCTCTTCTGTTAATAAGCAAGATACTAACCTTCATGTAGCGAAGGTTGGGAATTGACATGATTCTCACTTCTGGAATATAGTTGCTATGCACAAATAAAAAATGCATTAATGTTCACTGGAGCCCCTTAAAATTATTATTATCAATTACCAAGTACAAGAATCCTTTTATGCTCATTAGAACATGTCAGAAGAAAAGAACTTTAAAGACTCACACCACCACTACGGTAAGAACTTAAGACATGAAACCAAACTGGAAATGAGTTCTTTCTGAAACTTATGTATACTACTCATTTAGAACCTCATATCTGTGTGTATATCATGACAGATAGCTTCTTTATGCAGCTATTATTTTTTTGAAATCTTATTTAATTCATTTTTGTAACTGCAGAAGGAAATTGGTTGTAATATCTAAGACTAATAATACATGTAGGGTACACACACACACAGAAAACAAACAAAAAGTTAAAAAAAAATACAGAAAGGGCTGTAGAAACTCTACTATGTTCTTTCCAAACTCTTATCTAACACTTATGATACTATGCACCAATGTTTTAAGCATTTTACATACATTAATTCTTAGACTCTTCACTGTAACTACATGATAGGTGTCTGACGTTAGAAAGCAATACTTTTTCGTGTCCCAGTTGCTCCTCTTCTGATCCAGCTCTCTGCTATGGCCTGGGAAAGCAGTAGAAGATGGCCCAAGTCCTTGGGCCCCTGCACCCACGTGGGAGACCTGGAAGAAGCTCCTGGTTCCCGGCTTCTGGTTGGCTCAGCTCCGGCCATTGTGGCCATCTGGGGAGTGAACCAGCGGATGGAAGACCTCTCTCTCTTTGCCTCTGCCTCTCTGTTATTCAGCCTTTCAAATAAAACAAATAAATCTATGAAAAAGAAAACAATATTTTTTATGCACCGGCGCTGTGGTGTAGCACCCCCTGCAGTGCCGGCATCCCAAATGGGCACCACTTCAAGTCCTTGCTCCTCAGCAGACCAGTGCTCTCCAGTGACTCTTTATAGTTGCTGCCTAATATCCTACAGTGCACGTGTATCTCACCTTAATCTACCACTCCCTTGTTAATGGTTAGTCAGCTCCACACTGAAACTACTTCTGTCTTTTGCCATTAAAATGTTGCAATACGGGGCTGGCATTATGGTACAGCAGGTAAGCTGCCGCCCACAGTGCCAGCTGGTGGAAGGTCTCTCTATCTCTCTGTCCCTTCTTCTCTCTGTAACTCTGCCTTTTGCAATACACATCCTTGTAAATGTATCTGTTTCTTGGTGCTTTTGTTTCTATAGAATTGACAAGGAAGACGGTAGAGTACTGCTAGGATGAAAAGTCTATATAATTTGTCTTGATATTCTCAGAGCACTCCAAAAGACTCCAGCAGTGCACACTCCTACCAACGCAGGCAGGTACACGTCACCCATAGTCCCGAGCACTGGATGCTATCTAAACTTTTCCTGCTGAGCCTTGGCATCTTTATCTATTTCCTGGTTACCTGGAATTCCTATTCCATAAACTGCCTGCTCAAATCCTTTGCCTTACAACCCCCATCACTATCTTCCTCTATTTTTATCTTTCTAATCTGTGGGAATTCTGTATACCAAGGATACTAAACTTATTCTGGTCACAAATACCAAATATTCTTTTCTGCTCCACTGTCTGTGTCAGAACTTTGGCTTTCTTTCACAACTCATCTTTCATTTTGTTAAGATCAACACTGTTTTGTTTCCTGCTGGCTTCCGGGTTTCCTGCCTTGTTTAGGGAGGGCTTTTACCCCAAAGTAAAGATAATATTCTTCTAACCTCTCAAAATATTTTTCTTGTTTGACATTTTTTTTTAAGGTTTATTTATCTGAAACTCAGAGTTACAGAGAGGGATAGGCAGAGGCAGAGAGTGACAAGTCTTCCATCTGCTCGTTCACTCCCCAAATGGCCACAACTACTAGGGCTGGGCCAGGCCAAAGCCAGGGACCAGGAGCTTCATCCAGGTCTCCCATGTGGGTGTAGGGGCCCAAGCACCTGGGCCATCTACTGCTGCTTTCTCAGGCACATTAGCAGGAAGCTGGATTGGAAGTACAGCAGCCAGGACCCGAACAACCGCTCATATGGGATGTCGGCGCTATAGGTGGCAGCTTTACCCACTACGCCACAGTGCCAGCCCCTTGACAGGTGATTTTTAGACATGAAATTCCCTTCCACTGATAGGCCTCAGCATGTCATCACCAACTTATTCACTTTTATTCCACTCAATGAAGTGTTATCAGAACACAGGTAAAATGAACATTGTATTAGGGATACTCTTCAACCTGCCTATATTTTATTAAGCTTTTAAAAGATTATTCCCAAGCTTAAGCACTTTATAATTTATAATGAATGACTACTGACTCTCTATTTAATCAACACATCAAACTGCCCTAGATCACACCTCCACACTGTGTTCTTAATATAAACACCCTTAATTTTATGTCTACAGATTTCTCCTAAACTTCACAGTATGTAACTAAATTGAAAAAAAAAAAATCTAAACAGGGAACAACAGCAAGATCACTTTGATATAATTTTTCTTTTCTTTTTTAGGCCAAGAGTAAACACACTGCACATTGAAACAAACAAAAACAATCCTAAATAGTAACCCAAATACAAATCCCAACACACTTACACAGCAACCAACTGGATTTTGAATTTGATAGATGTTGGATTAAATTCTGGCTTGCTCAAATTATGTTCGCATCTCTAGAAAGAAAAGCAATATAATATGTATCAGAGGACTATAAGAACATACCAGGCTGATCCACTGAGTTGCTAAATTCAGGACAACAGCGACCACAATTCTGTCCTGTAGGATTCTACTACTAGACTGTGTGTTTTAACATAGCTCAGATGCCACTGATCGCCAAAATTTACAGATGATGCTGTTTGGACTAATATTATTATACCTTTATGGTGCTTTAAAACTACTGAAATAACAACACACACATATACTGAATACTTACCATATGTGCTGAACAGTTTGCTCACTGGTTTAAATGGATTTCAGCATCACATTAACTGGATGAGGTAGCTACTAGTACTACAAATATTCATGGGCCCATTTTACAGAAGATTAAATGGGACACAGGAAAGCTAAGTTACCTGCACAACTTCACAGAAACAAGAAGTGAAGCTGAGATCTGGAATTCCAGGTCTCTTGCTGGAAAATACAGTAGCAACTGTTAACCACCTGCTCCAGCAACTGTTATACTTGGTTAAAATTGTTTAACAGTACAAAAGAGGTGTCCAGTGTGGAGATCAACCTTTCTGACTCCTTGTTCCTGTCCCCAGAGCCACCCTATGCAGCTATATTTGGGGCCTGTGTACAGAAAAACATTAACATATATCATATTTCTTTTTTATATAACACAAAAGGGAGCATTTTACACAATGTTTTGCCCTTTGCTTCTTTTTTACTTTATCTCCTTTGGAATAAATTCCATTCAGCATACAGAGGAACCTCTGTACCACTGTTAAAACTTCTATAACTTATGTAACCAGAGGCAAACAGCTAACATTTAAATGTTTCCGCTACTTTGCTACTACATATAATGTACTCGTGTGTATTCATCACTTTCCACACGTGTAAATGTATTTGAAGGATAATTTTCCAGAAGTAGATCCAAGCATATATGACACCATCAAACTGCTAGCTTTGCCAGTCTGTCTTAAGACACAGTTACCTAATCACTATGAAAGTCTGAATATTTTTCATATTTTTTGGTTACTGGGATTTCTACTGTCATCACCTGTATGCTAATATCTACTGATTATTTTTATGCTGGGTTATATTTTCCTTGATTAGCCGAAGCTTTTTACATATTCCAGAGACAAAGCCTTTGTTTATTAGCTACCTTACAAATTACTTATCTCAGCCTGTGGTCTATCCTTTCATTTCTTTATGGATTTTCTTTGGGCTGGAGTACCAATTTTACTTAAAATTTTTTTTTTAACCTCAGGTAGGGAGGGGAAGAGAGGGAATGAGCGAGTGAGCGAGCACTTATACACTCTCCCATCCACTGGCTCACGCCCCGAATGCCCACAATGTCTGGGACTGGGCTGGGTGGAAGCAGGAGCCAGGAACTCAATCAGGTGTCTCATATGGGTGAATTAGGAGTGAAGCTGGGGCTTGAACCCAGGTACCCCAACATGGGACACAGGTGTTTTAATGGTTAGGCCAAATGCTTGCCCATCTTTTCTTCTCCAAAAAGTTCTTTAATACAGAAATTTTCTCATTTATATAGAAACACAAAATGGTATTAAAAATCCCTGGCCGGGGGTGGGGGCACAGTGCGGTGGTATAGCAGATAAAGCCACTGCCTGTGACACTGGCAGCCCATATGGGCACTGGTTTGAGTCCCAGCTATTCCATTTCCAATCCAGCTCCCTGCTAATGCGCCTGAGAAAGCAGCGGAAGATGGCCCAAAAGTGCTTTGGCCCCTGAACCCACACTGGAGACCCTGAAGAAGCTCCTGGCTCCTGGCTTCAGAATGGCTAAACTCTGGCCACTGCAGCCATTTAGGGAGTGGACCAGTGAATGGAAGATCTTTCTCTTTCTCTAACTCTACCTTTCAAATAAATACATCTTTAAAAAAAATAAACTCCTGGGTACTCATCACCCAACTTCAACACTTAAGTATGTTGGTAACAATTAGCAATATTGGCTAATTTTGCTTCCTGTATTCTCTCATTTCCCAGCCCAGCTTATCTTGTAAAAAATATCAGACATGGTGCCATTTCATCCATTAGTATTTTTGTAGGTATCTCTAATAAAAGATTAAAAACAACAATATAATTTTTATTCCCTAAGAAATGAACAATTCTTTAATAGTATTAAAATTATCCTGCCTTTGTCTACATTTCTCCAAAGATTTCAAAAAATTTTCTGCCCTTCTTCTACACCCCTCTCCCTCAGCCCCTTTCTGACTATATTTTGCTTGAATCAGGATCTACAGGAAGTCCACACACTGTGTTTAACTCAAGTCTCTTCTAACCTAGATCTGTGTTATTTAAAACATCAGCCACTAGTCAAACATAGCTATTTAGATAACTGAAAATGAAGGGCTCTACATCATAGGACCGCATGTCAAGTGTGCCTCGTGGTTCCGCCTCTGTGCAGATGTGGGAGAGTCCACCATCAGAGAAAGTGCTGTTGCCAAGCTCTGCTCTAAAACGCTCCTTTTGCCCTTTGCTCAGTTTCGTTTTTACAATTTCTTTATTAAAGAAACTATTTGTTCTGCAGACTGCCATAACTTTTTGCTGATTTTTCTTCTTTCTTTGGAATTATTTTTTATAGTTCCCTCCCTCTACCTCAAACTAACCTAGAAGATGAATAATCATTATTCTTTTAGTGGTTAACACTACGTCTTTAACCTGCAGGTGCCTGCTTCCACATCTGTAAAACAGAAACAACACTTGAGACTGCGCTAGAGCTACGCCAACTGAGTTTATATTGAAGGCATTTACGACAGTGTTCTGCACACCTGGTGTCTTCTGCAGTTACTACCTTAGTCAGACAGCAATCATGTTTACTTTAGTTTTGCTTTTCTCTCATACAAATGCACCTCCACAGAATGGGCTGCTTACCCGGCAGCGCAGCGACCGTTTGATCAGCAGGTGCTTGTGGCGAGGATAGAGCTGCGAAGCACAGACTGGCTGGAAGTCTGGCTGCAGGAGGCGCTGCTGAAGGGTGGTCACTAGCAAGAAAGCAGAAGCCAGGCTCAGGTCACAGTGACTTTCAGAATCAGACTTAGATGTCGTCAGTAACTGCATCAAACAGTACTGCCACCATGAACAGTGACGTTCAAAAATCCACACAACAGAAATTTAACATTCAAAAATTCTCTGATGACATCTACCTCCTTATTTTCTTTCTTTCTTTCTTTTTTTTTTTTTTTTTGACAGGTAGAGTTATAGACAGCGAGAGAGAGAGAGAGAGAGAAAGAGAGAGAGAGACAGAGAGAAAGGTCTTCCTTCCGTTGGTTCACCCCCGAAATGGATGCTATGGCCTGCGTGCTGCGCCGATCCGAAGTCAGGAGTCAGGTGCTTCCTCCTGGTCTCTCATGCAGGTGCAGGGCCCAAGCACTTGGGCCATCCTCCACTGCCTTCCCGGGCCACAGCAGAGAGCTGGACTCGAAGAGGAGCAACCAGGACAGAACCGGCACCCCAGCCGGGACTAGAACCCGGGGTGCCGGCGCCGCAGGCAGAGGATTAGCCTAGTGAGCCACGGCGCCAGCCCTCTCTTTTATTTCTACAAGTTGCTTTACTACCCACAACAATCCCCTTCAATATCTCAAATCGCAGTGCATGCAAGTGGTCAAAGCAGACTTAGATGCAGACTAGAAATGTACAGTAATGTTTAAAGTTACCCTCTGTTAAGTTCACGGGTCTTGTATAATAGTCTTCAGGCAGAGGTTCTACTTCATCTACAGCCTGAGCCGGCTCAATCTTTATCTCTTTCTGGTCCTCTCCTTCTTTAAGGCTAAAAGATAACAAGTAGTGATTTCTCCAGGGCCCACTGATTATGCCACGTCTAGGACATCAACAACTGAAGTGTTCCTGTCACAGAGAATCTTTTCAGTTTAATATCCACACTTACGAAAGTCCAGCAAGGGTACTGATGGATGTGCCAGCTCGTGGTCGCTGAAGCCTGGTCCCAAGACCGTATTTATCCTAAACAAAGTTCAGAAATTCCTATTAGCAAGTGACGATTTATACATCCTATTTATTGAAAGATTTCTGGGTGGGAAAGCATGAGAAGCTCAGGGAATAAGCCAAAAAAAAAAAAAAAAAAGCTAATTTAAAAGCTTCTTTTAGAGAGTACTTTGCAACCCCACATCATTATCCTATTCTTTTTTTTTTTTTTTTTATTTTTTTTTTTATTTTTGACAGGCAGAGTGGACAGTGAGAGAGAGAGACAGAGAGAGAAAGGTCTTCCTTTGCCGTTGGTTCACCCTCCAATGGCCGCCGCTGCAGCCGGCGCACCGCGCTGATCCGATGGCAGGAGCCAGGAGCCAGGTGCTTTTCCTGGTCTCCCATGGGGTGCAGGGCCCAAGCACCTGGGCCATCCTCCACTGCACTCCCTGGCCATAGCAGAGAGCTGGCCTGGAAGAGGGGCAACCGGGACAGAATCCGGCGCCCCAACCGGGACTAGAACCCGGTGTGCCGGCGCCGCAAGGTGGAGGATTAGCCTATTGAGCCACGGCGCCGGCTCATTATCCTATTCTTAAAATAATAAAGGCACCAGACAAAGAGATCGAAACTATGTTAATATAGTAAAAGTGAACTAAATGTGAGTTTTACTATTAATCTAAAAATATCTAAGCTATGGCTCAGGCAAGAACTATGCAGAATGTCTAAGACACACGACGGACATCTTCTTGGAACACCAGTGATCATCTGCTAACTTCCTCGGGATCAGCAAGAATCATAAAAGAGAACTTACCACTACATGAATAGTGTGTTGCTGTGGAGCCCCCAAATAGCAGCAGGTTGCAACGGAGACAAAAATATGCAGCATAAGATAGAAGCAAACTCATAGAGCAGGCAGGTTACATGGGAAAGTTGGAAAAATAAAGCATTTAACACAAACTTCTCTCCTAAACAGAACAGACTAGCGCATACGCCGATCACACCACTGGACTACCGAGCACATCAGTGTCGGGCAAGTGCAGGTGTGTCACAACTGTCGCTGTGTAGTAAACGCTATTCCAGGCATTCTGACACAGCCTTACAATTCTTTAGGTTTCAACGGCTTAACTAATTCTCATGTGGATGCAATTTGGCAAGTTCTCATTTCCTCAAGTGTGCAACAGGGGTACACTGTACCCCAAAGACCTGTTGTGAGGATAACATGATATGTGTAAAGTGCTTGGCACAGGGTTTGACACACTGTAACCATTCAACCAATGTTATTTACTAAATATCAAACTGCTGGCCTCAAGCAAGAACACAGAAAACAAACTGTTCTGTGAGAGCAAATAAAACTTGAGGTAAGTAACAGAAACTCCAGATCCTAACCTTTAGCTTCTGACTCGTAGCAACCGGTAGCGAAAGACTTCCACAAATAATTCCTACAAAAACTCCACTCGCATATCCAAGGGTATTTCAAAAAGGTTGTTAAAAAAATGGAATTTAAAGGTAAATTTATTTTAGTGCAAAAAATTTAAAATGCATGGATATGACTAGGTAACCAAACAAGTGTGTAATGTCAGTGTTTCCATCGCGGGGACACATGGCTGCAAACGGCTACCAGCAGGCTGTCAAAGGTGGGAGACGTGGGTGACGTGAAGAGAACATACTCTGCCCATTCTCTTTTCAGACCCTCTGTCATTCACAAAAGCTGCAAGCGGGGTTCTGTGGTGTCTACACAATTAAACAGCAGCCTTTTGGGGGGACCATCAGAAGACAAAGGGGAGTGATGGAGAAACAAACACAAATACTCTTAAAACACAAAAGAACTCAAACAGAGCTGATGACGTGGCAAAAGCAGAACTGCTGGGCTTAAACATCTGTCACTCTGAGGGACCCCTCTCTGCTACCCACCATTCAGGAATGAAGGACACGGCCACTTTCTGAAATGGTCACTATTGCTATGCCCCACAGATCTTGCAAATCCTCACCGAAAAAGCCAGAGGCATGTAGTTCCTACGTCGTGCAAGTTTCTTGCGATCTCGCTCAACCTTTTCTTTCTGAGCAAGCTGCTGGTAATATTCAATCAATTTGTTCATCTGTAAGAAATCAAAGATGCGTATTTGTTTCACAAGAAAGCTAACAAGAAACACACAAAATTAAACAATCACACTGACAGACATGTAATAGAGGAGACAAACGATTCAGGTGGGCAAATTTGCTTTTTCTTTAAGAGAATTTCTCTTTATTACATGATCTGTTTTCAGAACTGAAATGGTACCTTCAGGAAGAAGTGTACAATGAAAAGGCTTGGACATTTTATCTCTTTTTGCCCCTCCACAATCTTACCCAAGACATTTTCAGTATTTCTACAGTAACATAGGTCAACAATTATAAACCGCCATTTGATTTGCATTTGAATGTCAGCACATCCATTCCTAGAGCAGTTCCCCACCTTTCTCAAGGGGTGAGAACATCAAATGTCACACACACAGAACAGAGGAGCTCGCCACGAGCTGCTGAAGCAGGCACAGGCCACGACCCTGTAAGCAGTGAGTCTAGGACATTGTCTACATTACCGGTGTCTCCAGGGGCTAAAATAGCTACATATTTATGGCATTTCCAAGAGTATCTGAGGAAAAAATGGAACCGTAACTCGCAGGTGGGTGGATGAGGCAAAAACAAAAATGATCTTGTTTTCTTTTTCTGAGGCATAACGTGAAATCAGACCTAAAACTACACCTAGCTTTCTCCATGAACTTAAGTCAACTGGAAAAAACTGACACTGATTTAGTCTTATGATGACAAGCGCTTTCCCTGTGTAACGGATGCCACAATACATACTACGGACTTCCAAGCACGGGCCATGTTCAATGCAAAATGGAAGATCTTCAGGCCTTTACTCTATCTTTTATTATTTCGTCTCATGGCTCTGACGACGCCTTACTTACCCGTTGTGTGTGTGGATTTTCAGGTTCCTGCCAGCCGCCGCTAGCTAGAAAATGAAGAGACATTAAACAAGATTGATGATTTGATAACTGCACATTCATAAAAACAAGTCATCTGAGGCCATAAAATGAAATATAAAAACATAAAATGATAGAATTTCTAAGAAAAAGTCCTAGAAATGATATATACCAGAATGCTTGGGATAAAATTTTCTTTCAACATAAAAATGGTGCTAACGGCAACTCTCTTCATCATCAGCAACGATGCAACATGCATTGGACACGTACTACATTTTTTTTTCTCACGATATTTCCTGAGGTAGGGACTCTTATTATCAATCTGATTTTACAGATGAGGAAATCGAGGCTCAGAGATGTTAGCGAACTTGCTCCAAATCCTGCAGACAGGAAGTGGTAGCGCCAGGATTCAAACGACTGTCTGATCCAGAGACTCTGCTCTTATCTTCAACACTGTGTAACTTCCATGTTCTATGACCTTGATTTAGAGAATTTCTTACATAAGGAACACACGGCACAACTGATAAGGGAAGAAAGCATTCAAGAAAGCTGAAAGTGAAACCACAACTGACTACCTGCAACAGATGGTGCTGTAATAATTGGATATCCACACAGAGAAAAGGTGAACCTCGACTCTTACTTCATAACTCATATAACACTTAATCTAAAATGCACAACAGACTTAAATGTAAGAGCTAAAACTATAGCATTTCTAGAAGAAAACCTAAGGGTAAATCTTAGTGACTCTGGCTTAGCTTGCAAAAGGGCACAAAAATGTACACTCTATAGAACAAAACAAAAAATGAGAAATTGCTCTTCACTGAAATGACAAACTTGTGTTCTTTAGAGATTTGTTAATAAAATAAAAAAACAAGTCACAGATGAGAAAATACTTGCCAAATATGTATTTACTAATGGACCTATACCCAAACAGAACTCTTTCAATGGAAAACAAAAATAATTAATTAACTAATTAATTAATCAATCTATCTTAAACACACACAAGAATGCTTCTAGCAGGGCTCTTTTCAAAAGCAAAAAATGAAAACAACCTAAATGTCCACCAAAAGGAGACAAAATAAAAAAACTATAGAAAGTCATGTATGAATCAGTTTTTTATCACAAACGTAATGTTGATAAAGTTGTAGCAGGATACATATAGTATATGTACCCATCTGCTTAAAATTGAGAACTACTGGGGCCAGCACTGTGGCACGGTGGGCTAAGCCTTCGTCTGTGGTGCCGGCATCCCAAATGGGCACTGGTTCAAGTCCCTGCTGTCCCTCTTCTGATCCAGCTCTCTGCTATGGCCCGAGAAAGCAGTGGTAGATGGCCAAAGTGCTTGGCCCCTGCACCATGTGGGAGACCTGGAAGAAGCTCCTGGCTTCAGATTGGCCCAGCTCTAGCCACTGCAGCCATTTGGGTTGTGAATCAGCAGATGGAAGATCTTTCTCTCTCTCTCTCTCAAATAACTAAATAAAAATCTTATTTTTTTATTTGTTAGTGACAACATACCTATGTGGAGAAGTATAAAAATATTCAGACACTAATAAACATCAGGGTTGTGACAATCATCTCTTGGGGACAGACAGGGGAATACAAGAGGGGAAAGGCTACAGAAGGGGCTTATACTGCTTTGGTTCCACTTCTTTTCTTAAACTAAGTGATATGCACATAATATATATTATTTATATAATTAAAAGTAACTTTTTCTCTTCCAAAACAAAAAGGACTCTTAATGATCTTGCTAAAAGTAATAATGTATTTTCTCGCAGGAAATGGCTGAACTTATCTTTTGTACAATATTCCTGTTTCAAAGTTTGTATTACTTACAGGAATCATGGAAAATAAACTATGTGACCAAAATGTTTTAGTTTTAGTAACATTTCTGAAAGCTGGAACCTTTTAGTTGCAACAATTTTTTTTTTTTTTTTTTTACAGACAGAGTGGACAGTGAGAGAGAGACAGAGAGAAAGGTCTTCCTTTTTGCCATTGGTTCACCCTCCAATGGCCACCGTGGCCGGTGCACTGCGCTGATCCAAAGGCAGGAGCCAGGTGTTTATCCTGGTCTCCTATGGGGTGCAGGGCCCAAGGACTTGGGCCATCCTCCACTGCACTCCTGGGCCATAGCAGAGAGCTGGCCTGGAAGAGGAGCAACGGGACAGAATCCGGCGCCCCGACCGGGACTAGAACCTGGTGTGCCGGTGCCGCTAGGCGGAGGATTAGCCTATTGAGCCATGGCGCCGGCCCAACAATATTTTTAAAAGTCTTATCTCATTATGTTTTCCTCTGTACATATGGACAATATGTCAGAGAACTGTTACAAGTCAGTCAACAGTTCTAACTAAAGTGGTTTCAGGGTTTCCTAGGCATTAAAGCCATCATGGGGGAACTGAAATTATCTGCAGTCTCAAAGAACTTCTGAGATCCAACCATCACTATTAAGACACCCAGAGGAGAGAGAGGTCTAGAAGTCAGCATAGGTTTTTATTCATTTGAGAGGTACAGAGACAGAAACAGAACACTGATCTTCTGGTCACTACCAAAATGCCTGCGACAGTTGTGGATGGACCTGGAACTCAATTCAGGTCTCCCACGTGGGTGCCAGGAACTGATTACCTGAGCCACCACCATTGCCTCCAGGGTCTGCAATAACAGAAGCGTGAGTCAGGAGCCAGAGTCAGGAATTGAATCCGGCACTCTGATGTGGGCCACAGCTGTTTTCACTGTTAGGCACCAGACTCTAGCACAGGTTCTGAAATTAAAATTCTCTAATCTTAGTGGTTCATAATCTGAAAAGCATTTAAGGTGTAACTTTTATGAAAATCCCAAAATAAGAATTTTAGCAAGTTTAAAATATTATCAGAAAACTGAGCCATGAAATTTCAGAAAGAAAAATGACAACAGGGTTTTAGTAGTGCTACTGTATATATATAAAGCATAAATAGCAACTCAGGATTTTCAACTGACTGTACTGTGTTTCCACAGTGATATTAAACATGGAATAGACAAAAATATAAAAATACAGGAAGCCTCCTGATAAAGGTAAGTGCAATCTCTACCTAGAGGTGCTCAAATGATGGCGAGGTAAGTAACACCCTACACCTTTAAATCCAAACATGGCTTTTCTGTCTCACTGATGAACCCTATGTCTGTAAGTGTCTTTATGTTCAGATGCTTCAGGGGACTTGGACATGAAACTGTTGGGCAGAAGAAAAGCATTTTAAAAATTTAACAGATGTTGTCAAATTGTTCTCCAAGATGGTATTACATGAGAATTTTCTCATTTTCTAGCCAAACTTGAAATAACCAGATTAAAAATTTTTTTTGCCAAATAAAAAGTTTGAATTTGCATCTCCACAATTATTAGTAAAGTTAAACATATCTTTCTGCATACTTACTGATCATTTTTATTTCCACTTATGAGAACTGCTGCTTAAACCCTTTGCCTGTTTTCTTTCTTTAAAAAGTATTTATTTATATTAAAGGCAGTGTGCCTACCACAGCCGGATTAGGACAGGCTGAAACCAGGAGCCAGGAACTCCATCTGGGTCTTCCATGTGGGTACCAGGAACTTCAGTACTTGGGCTTCCACCTACTATCTTTGGGTTCATCAGCAGGTGGCTGGATCAGAAGCAAAGGCAGGACTCTTACCCAGGAACTCTGATATGAGAGGCAGGTGACCCAGCGGCAGTGTAACCTACTGGGCCACAACACCAGTCCTCTTTGCCTGTTTTTCTACTGAGTCTCTTTTTATTGTTTTACAAAGGTTTCTCATGTGGTTTTTCATCTTAAGTTAGTTAGCTGCATTCCAACTATTTCTTATCATTTGTTACTTTTATCTTTAACTTTATCCATGGTGATGGATGCTTATTTATTTATTTATTTGACAGAGTTAATGAGAGAGAGAGACAGAGAGAAAGGTCCTCCTTTTCCGTTGGTTCACCCCCTAAATGGCCGCTACAGCCAGAACTGCGCCGATCCGAAGCCAGGAGCCAGGTGCTTCCTCCTGGTCTCCCACACGGGTGCAGGGCCCAAGCACTTGGGCCATCCTCCACTGCCTTCCCAGGCCACAGCAGAGAGCCAGACAGGAAGAGGAGCAGCCAGGACTAGAACCTGGCGCCCATATGGGATGCCAGCGTTGCAGGTGGAGGATTAACCAAGTGAGCCATGGCGTTGGCCCTGGGTGTTGATTTTTTTAAGAAGAACCTATCTTCATCCTCAAAATCAGATTTACAAAAGCTGTTTTTACCAATTCCAAGGTAGCAAGTCTCAGATGAACATCATGATCCATAAATGTGGGCTTAAGGACAAAACATCGTGAATTTAGCTCCTACCTCTCCAACAGGATATAAAACGCCAGTCTCTGGGCAGTTATGCCACTCCCGAGTGCACAGAATCTCCTGCTGAGCCGACCCCACTCACCTACAGATTTGTCTGCCATGCCCACATCCCGAGACGTCCAGCGACAAAACCCACAGGCCAGGTAGTAGGCTTTCTTCATGGCGGTCTTGGCTGGGTCATCTGGAAGCTGTGTGGAGATGCTCGTTGCCCGGGTGGACAGGGTGTGCATACATCCAGGACAGTCAAAGCAGTTGGCACATCTGTGCACGGCAAACACAACCATTAGTGCACTCAGCAAGTATCTGCCAAGCACCTACCACGTGCCAGACAGAGTTCTGCATGCTAGCAATTCAACAAAGACCAAATACAAGCAGGAATGCTTAAAACTGTTCCTGGACGCCTCTTAGCAATTCAGTACTTCAAAATAATCACATAATATTTTTTAAAAACCATGCAAACATGACCCAAATTCTCGGATAACCAGAACCTGGCCCAATCCTACTGCACAGAGGGACGCACTGCCACCACGCACAGGTTCCTCCTCCTCCAGACTCCTTTTACATTCACACAGTTCACAAGATTCCCGAGGAACAGGAGGGCTCCTGTTCACACTGTTGGTGAGGCTGCACCAACAGTGCGATGGAACACCGAGAGCCAACGATAAGAGCAGCTGTTGAAACTGGACACAGGAAATAATCGCTCGACTGCTGGGCCAGAAAGCTCACACCCCTCTCCCCCCAACGAAGCTAAACTGAATGGTTCAGAAACAGCACTGGTTCAGGGTTTTTTGTTCTTTCTTCAGATGCTAAAGAAGTCCATGCATCATTTTTTCAGAATATGCACTTCCGATGGATTTTTTGAAGCTCTCTTGTGGGCATGCATTTCAGAATTTTTTCTGCACCAAAATAAACTTCTCTTTTAATTGCTTTTATGACTCTGTGAAGTATTCTCACCTTTAATAATAAGCATATAAGCACTGACTCATTAACTGTGACAAGTACACTGTATTAATGTAAGATGTTAACAACAGCGGAGAGTAAGGGCTATGCTCAACGGGAACTCTCTGCACAACCTTCACAATAATTCTTAAGTCTAAAACTCCCGTAAAATAGAACACCTATTAAAAAAAAAACCAGGGGCAGTTTCATTTTTGCCAATGATGATGCCAAACATGAAAAATGGCTTAAAAAAATAAACCCAGTTAATTCCATGTGTTTTCTAATTACCTACTAAGAAAATCGTTGAGGAAAACAGAAAACCCAATCCTGGTCTTACCTGTTCTTTTTCAGTTTGGCTTCAGCCGACGGCATATTTTCTAAGCAACTGGGGCAATAATGAGAGTCCACCTAGAAGAAACCAAAAACATCAGAGGAAGAGAAACTTAGTTTAGCTTGCATATTTGTCATTTCTATGTCAAACGGGGAATTTTAAAATGTTACACTGAGAGAGAGGAGACATCTCTCATATGGACTGTTTTTAGCTTAGGGTTTACTCTAAAAATCCATTCTTCTTGTCCAACTGGGGTACCTGAACAACAATCCCAAGGACACTTGGGACGCCAGCCCAGCCTGATGGGAGTGATGACTCTGCCTGTGATGCAGCTTCTGGTTAATGTGCATTCTAGGGGGCAACACACAATGGCTCAAGTCCTGGGATCGATGCCACCCACACGAGAGATGTAGATGGCAGTTCCCAGCTTCTGGCTTTGCTTGCTCTAACTTTGGCTATTGGAGGCACGTGGGGAGTGAATCAGCAGATGAAGATCTCTCGGGGGGCTGGCACTGTGACTCAGGTTAAGCTGTTGGATGCAGCACCAGCATCCCTTATGGGTACCAGTTTGAGTTCTGGCTGCCCACTTCCCATCCAGCTCCCTGCTAATGGCCTGGGAAAAGCTGCAGAGGATGGCCCAAGTGCTTGGGCCCTTGCACACACAGGAGACTCAGATGAAGCTCTTGACTCCTGGCTTCAGCCTGGCCCAGCCCTGGTTGTTGTGGACATTTGGAGAGTGAACCAGCAGATGGAAGATACCTCTCTTTCTGCCTCTCCCTCTCTCTAACTCTGCCTTTCAAATAAATAAATAAATCACACACACAAACAAAAATATCTGCCTTTCAAATAAAAAAAAACAGGGGCCAGCAGATAAAGCTGCCATCTGCGGTGCCAGCATCCCATATAGGCACCAGTTCGAGTCTCAGCTGCACCACTTCTGATCCAGCTCTCTCTTATGGCCCGGGAAAGCAGCAGAAGATGGCCAAAGTCCTTGGGCCCCTGCACCCACATGGGAGACCCAAAAGAAGCTCCTGGCTTTGGATCGGCACAGCTCCAGCTGTTACAGCCATCTGGGGAGTGAACCAGTGGATGGAAGACCTCTCTCAGCCTCTGCTTCTCTGTAACTGCCTTTCAAATAAATAAATTTAAGAAATCTTAAAAAAATAACAAACATTTCTAATTGAAGGACTCTATGATAACCTACTAAATAGATAATAAAATAACCCAATTTGCAAAGCTGTGGAATTTACTCATTTAGTTTAGCTTTCCCTGATTACAATAACTTGACCACACTTTAATCATTAAAGGAGACTTTAAAGGGGTGCAGGAGGTTAAGCCGCCACCTGTGACACCCACATTCCATACTGCAGTGCTCCAGCTACTGTTTCCCATGCAGCTTCCTGTTAATGTGCCTGAGAAGGCAGCAGAAGATGGCCCAAGGACTTGGGTCCTTGCCACCCAAATGGGTGACTTGGATACGAGTTCCTTGCTTTTGGCTCCAGCCTAGCCATTGCAGACATATGGGGAGTGAACCAGTGGAGGCAGGATCTGTCTCTGTCACCCTGCCTTTCAAATAAATAAAGGAATGAATGAGAAAATAAATAAATATTCCTAAATTCCAACATAATACGTGCTCACGGATTTTTTATCAGCTATATCCAACCGACCAGAGCTTTTTGACAAATTAAATCAACAGGACAGTCTTATTATGTTTAACTAAAAGACACGGTTAAAGTGAATCTCACTCTATTTTTTTTAAAGGTTTCGATCATCACTGTCTTAATGAGGGTAGAGCCTATTTGACAATTATAGATCTTTAGTGACCTGCAGAGGGAAAGGTATGCACACTGCCTGTTTTTTCATCAGCTGATAAACACCATTTGAAAAGATTAATAAAGTTGCTGCTCAAATCAACTCCACGAACATGAAATACAGTACCACTAATTACCATCCGCCCTGATGCATCACGGGAGGCAGATACAATTCATTCCTCCTTGTCCCCATTCCAAATTCTGCTTGTCCCTTCACACGCAGCTCCCACCCCAGGGCTTCCACTGGAACTTTCTGGCCTGTCCGAATCCCTCCTAGCCTCATCCTTCCCAACTCTAGTGGCCTCCGTATCACAGGTGCACACCAGGCTGTAAGAGATGTGCTAGCCAAAGACACCCCTACAGGTCACGCGGCCTCAACGCCCTATTGCCACCACAGGAGAATCCGATCCAACGTTCTGGGGGTGCGGCTGGAATAGGGATGCATCTAAAAGAGAAAGGACTTGCCAAGGAGATACACAAGGGGAAAGTGCTAAAGGAGGATACAAGAAAAACCCCCGCCATATATATATATGTATATCGACTTCAAAAAATTATTTCATTGCTTTCCCTGACAATTATTATGAAAAGTACCTTCAATAAATTATTAGTAATTCATAAAATGTCTTACGGTACAGGATGTGTTTTGATATGCATTTCAACAGTCCAGAGGACTTTAGCAAAATTCTGAGGCTGTTTAGTTTCAAATTCTGGTCTTCCCTGCCACTCCTAAATTACTGGGGTGCCCTATGGCAGTCTCTTTACCTGTAAGGCTTTTGTTTGCTTGTTCGTTTTTTTTTTTTTTTAAAGGTATGCCCTTCATTCGTTTGGAGAGAGATTCCGTACCATACATACTACACGGCAACTACCATTCGGATTCTCTTCACTAAACTGTGAGTCCCCAGCAGCGGGGTTTATGGTTTAGCGATCTTTTAATCCCCAAGTTGCGTCCAGCACTGCAGACATCTGGAGGCCCTGTCATCTGATCATCTTTTCTTTAGAGTCAAGGACTTCGAGCACTCCCTCTGCAACGCCCACCTGCGCCGGCGAAGGCCAGCACTGTACCCTCGGGAGGGGCGGCCCCTGAGTGCTTTTCACGGAACTCGCCCCACCCCAGAATTTGGCCGGAGCCAGCAAACAGGGCCAGGCAGTCTGCTGAGGGCCGCTCCGGGCCGAAGGGGCAGAACTTCCAGGCTGGGAGGGGCATGCGAGACAATGCCTGCGCCCCCGCCCCGGTCAGTCTCGGAAAGACGGTTATCTCGCCCCTCAAGCGGCCTGAACCAAGCCACCCCAGACCCTTACCCTCAGCCCACCCAACTACCAGCCCCCACAGAAGACAACTGGGTTCCCCTAAAGTCAAGTTTGCCCAATCAGAGGCCGCTCTACAACTAGATGATCCGCTCAGCCCCACCCGAAGCCGCCCTTCCTTTCCAAGTGACAGATGACAAGCAAATTACATCGCAGACAAAGTTGGGTGACGGAAAACACAGCCAATCAGCAGGCTAGGAAATGACTACCCGCCTCCAACCGGCGGAACTTCCCCGCCGGTGGCCGTGACTAGGATGATCGTCCCCCGCCCCCAACACACAGGTTCTCCGTAGGATGACTCCATTACCTCGTGAGACACACATTCCAGCGACCGCAGCTCGCAACAGTAGCGGCAGAAGTAGAGCTGCGAGAGCGGGGCCCGAACCTTCTTTTCTCCCTGGACTAGGTAGAGAACCCGCTCCGACTGCAGCAAGGACGCCATCTTGCAGAGGGAGGCGCCAACGGCCCTCCCGCCGCATCACGTGACCCCAGCGCCAGCGTCTGCTCACCGCCTTCCGTACGTCTTCTACGTAACTTTGTCATAAGGCTTGCGACCCAGAGGAGCTTTGCGCAGGTCCAAAACAAAGTGCGCAGGCGTAGCTGGGTTCGCTTGGTCCGCTCGATTCTGGCCGCGCCCCTCGCGTGTTGGTGAGGGTCCGCTGCTGGGAGCCGTCAATCCTTTAATTAAGTCCAGACTCGGAGATGAAATCCAGACAGGCTTGGTGCTCTCGTTGTCTTGGTTTCTTCCAGAAAGGAAGGATGCTTTTTATTTACAAGTGCCTCCCTCTGCAGACGTTCGGGACGCACTTGGAAGGTCGCAACGGCGGAGTTCATGGGCAGAGCTGGAAAGCTAAGAAATCTAAAAGTCACGCACCAGCCGTTTCTTCTGACGGTGACTTCAGCACAGGTCATCCTCTCGTTTGCAGCTAGTTAAGGACGCACCTGCAACAGAGGCCAATTCTCATTCATTTCCAGGTTTCCAGTAGCTAAGCACAAGGTTGAAGTCTGTACTGTGGGTAGGAAGTGTCGATGAGTGGAGGAATGAATCAGTGAGGGAATAATGTTGGCAGGTGACACACATTTTCTTAAAAATTATTTACTTATTTGAAGGCAAAGCAACAGAGAAAGGGACACACATGTGCGCACTCGAGAGACGAGATCTTCCATCCTCTGGTTTACTCCTCAGATGACCACAATTGACAGCTCTGGGACAGGCTGAAGCCAGGACCCAGGAGCTTCTTCCAGGTCTCCCACATGGCCCACACGGGTCCAGGGGCCCAAGGACTTGGGCCATCTTCTACTGCTTTCCCCGGCCATAGCAGAGAGCTTGGATTCAAAGTGGAGCAGCCGGGACTCGAACCGGCGCTCATATGGGATGCCGGTGCTGCAAGCAGCGGCTTTACCCGATACCACAGCTCCGGCCCCTCAAAGGACCTCTTAAGGAGAAAGCGTGCATTTGGCCACCCTCATCAAAGACTCAGATCCTCCACACCTAAGGAATTCTGGAGAAGGCCCCTGACCAGCCCTGGCCATCTGCCAGGACTGCCTTCCCCTCTTTGGGTTTCCTGTTTGAGAACTGCATTAATGACAGGTTCGCCTGTGTCGAATCTATAGACTCATCTAAAAGTCATAGTCAACAGGAGGGCCAGAGTAGAGCCACTGTTTCATCAGCACATCTGGCCCTGTGGCGGCTGCGCCCAGGAAATGCGGCTGGCCCCGGCTAAAGCTTCCCCAAGCACAAACATAGCAGAGAGCTGCAGCCTTCGTTCTCAGGAGTCTTTTCTGTGAACTCAGTTTTCAGTTGTACTTTTTTCAGGGCTTCCTATCTCTTCCTATACACCTAGACCTCCTATTGTAGCTATATCCTGGCTCTCACAGAGCTGCCCCAGCCAAAAACCTGGGAGCTTCCTAGGGGACTCCCTCCTGGCAACTCTACATCCCGAATAGCTCTGACTCCTGCCTCTTTTCATTCTCATACCCAGACTTAATTCAGAGGTTAGCAGTTTCTCTTCTGGACTTAGAGAAGCTCCTACCCAATTCGCTTTGACGTTGAACCACAATGGTCTTTCTGAAAACTGTGTTGTGGTCTTGATCCTCTCTCATTGTTGTGTAGATCCCACCAGTAGCTCACTGTCACCTACAGGACAACTCCGTAAACTCCTGGGATACAACATAAGGCCTGCCTGGGACCTTCCTGCCTCTTCAGCCTCTTCTTCCAAACACCTCCCTGCATTCACGGCCTGTCTGACCTTTGTGATCCACTCAGGAGAATGTGCCGTGCCATTTTACGCCTCCAGGACCGTGACGTACCAGGGATACCTTTTGTATCTGCCTGCTGCGCATGGGTCTTTTCCTCTGTGAAACCTTGATTGATCTTACAAAAGGCAGTTGCCCACGCTTGTCTTTGTCCCACAGCTGTGTCCTTTTAGGGAATCTTGCACATTGCACTGCCTTCATTTTTTCTCAACAAATCTGGCTTCCTTCTGGTCTACCACAGACCCTGTAAAGGCCTGGCCCAGAGCAGGTGCACAATAAATTTTGATAACGTCAACGTCTTGGAATACTTAGGATATACACAGATAGTCAAGTGTGTTAATGCTACCTGATAGGTAGTATTCACTAGCCACTTCACATTAACACAACCACCCTATGAAATAGGCACTGTAATTTTTAACCCAATTTTCCAGGTGAGGAAATGAAATTTGCCCAAGTTCACACCAATAAGAAATGGTAGAACTAAGATTTGAACCCAAGTCCTTTGAGTCCATACTTTATCTTGAACAAATCATGCTATAGCCCATGGATTGTGGAGCCTTTTCTTGAATGGCCAGATGGTGAATATTTTGATCTCTTTAGACTAAGGCAAAATCAATAGTTTATGTATTTATATAACAAGGTAGAAGACCACCGCCCCAGCCCTCGACTGATGCTCGCCTGGTAGTGGGCACACTCTGCACCCGACTGGAGAGACATCAGCCTGAGGGACAGGGGCTGGCAGGAAGCAGGTGGGGGAAAAGTTGGAGAGGAGAGAGACTTGTCAGCTGAACTCCTTTCTAGTGACACAGGCTCCCAGTGCCCATGTTTCCTAACAGAGAGCATAGCCGTCTGAACTTGGGCAGATTCACTGGTAGTTACTGGCAGACGCCAACTGCACAGTCCTCCATGTGACCTGCATGTGTCCTGGGCAGTGTCAGGGTACAGACACCGGCTTGGGGCACAGACACTTGGAGCAGAGGGAGAAGCATGTTCAGGAGGACGTCCGTCTTTGCTTGAGGGGCTCACTGCACCAGCCTCTGGAGATGCTGGCAGTCTGCACGGAAACAGGCAGCAGCTGGAGTTGGCCCCCGGACCGGATTTGGTGATGCTTCCTATCACCTCCTGCTGTAGTAGACTGGAGGACTAAGAATCATTATGTACCGGGAAGATCCTAGTTCAGTCCTTGTATTCTCCATACAAGGAAAATGAGGCCCACACAGTTCCAGAGACACACCCATAGGTTTTCCCACTTCTGCTACAATTTTTTGTTTCTATAAGTGAAGCTCCTTGCTTTACGCCAATCAGTTGATGATTCATATTCACAGCAGAGTAAGAAACCAGTTGCTCTTCTCTAACAATACCTTAAAAAAAAAAAAAAAAAAACTAAAGCAAAGCAAATACATGGGAAAACCACACACTCACTGGGGAGCCTACCAGATTTTTCCTGGAAGTTTACTGGGTGACCCCATTTCTGTTTGGAACACAAGTTTCACATCTTTAGGGTGCTCGCCCCTTGACTTCAACAGGAATTTCCCAAGGGTATCTCAGACTCCTTACTCTCCGTCTCTGTGCTTAGTAGATGTGTGGGTTCCAGTGCTGTGGCTCCCTGGGACACTCTGAGCTCTGCCGAGGCTGCAGGGACGTGAGCCAGCCAACGTCCTCGGACTGCAGGACGCACAGCATGACCTCAGCCTAACTGCCGCAGCTGCTCCCAACTGTTGCTGGGGCTTAAGACAGTCCCTGGCCCCTGAAATGCCGCCTTCCAGTAGTGCATGCCTGGGCCGCGCTCAGTCCTGTGAGCTCACACTAACTTGAGGGGCCAAAGCTCTCAGTGTAATCATGGAATAGTGGAGCCAGAGTGACTTTCAAGACTGACTAAGCTGCTCCTCTCACTTTAAGACAGAATGAAGTTTGCGGTGAAGCTAGAATTTGAACTCGGGTCTTGGCTCCAAGTTTCTTGCTTCTACTTCACATGGCTGGCCCTCTATGACCACACAACTCACTACCCAACTGCTTCTAGGAGACCACCAGTGTACTGCTGACTGAATTAAATCCAATAGAATTGGAGGTGGAATTCCTGCCCAACTTAGTACCTGACAAAGAGCTGTGCTCAGTGAGTTTGTTGAATGGATGCCTTCAATATTTGAAACTTTCTGATAGACAACAGTCAAGCAAATTTTTTTTCCCTTTTTGCTCTTTAAGCAATTCCTTCTTTTAGAAAGGGGGAAGATTGCATTTAAATAGGGTGGTCAGATTAGGTGTCATGAGAAGGTGAGATTTTGAGTGAAGATTGAAGGAGGTGGGGAGAGAGGATTGATGGGGGAAGAGTCTTCTAGGCAGAGGCTGACCCAAGGCTCTAAGGTCTTTCTGAGGAATAGCAAGGGAGTCATGGGGCTGTCATGGAGTGAGCAAGGGGAGGGATCTCGGGGCTGGGATCCCAGAGGCAGTGGGAGCAGAGGTGCAGTCATGTAGGCTCTTAAAGGGGGTAGTGAACCACGTAGGATTTCAGGCAGAGCAGTGACACATATATTACAGGGGGCACTCTGGACCCTGCTTGAGAATGAGCTGCAGAAAGCAAGGTCAGAAGCAGGGCTCAGTTAGGTTGTTACAGTGATGCAACCAGGAGCTTAGAGTGTCACAGACCGTGGATTCTGGCTATATTTCATAGACAACACCTGTGGGATTTCCTGATGCCCACCTCTGGGGCCTCCTGTACCCAGACTGTCTCCTGAATGGTGCAGGTTGGAGTCACACACACAAAGGCCCTGGATGGTCCAAAGGACAGTCTGTTTCATGGCTTGGCAAATCCATACCACGACTATGCTCCCTGAAGGCAAAATAAAACCATCCAGGAGAGGTAACTGAGCTTCAGCTTTCACAGTCAACAGAAGGAGATGAAATGAACTTCTTCAGTCTCTTGTTTGCTTAGCTCCGACTCACAAAGCATGCTGATTACCACACAGGAAAGAATATTTCACAAGAGGCTGGAGAAAGAGCCCGTCAGTTGCTAAACACATTCATCAGATCTTCAGAGCCCCAGCGCGGGCTCAGACAGAAAAGCTGGTGCGGAAGAGCCCGGCCCCTTTCAAACAGTGCCAAGGACTCTGCCCAGCAAGCTTTGCCCCTTGCCGTGAGGGTGAAATGAGCTAATGAGAGCAAAGAGGGCAGAGCGTGGCACAGCTTCGGTGCTGCCAAAGTGTTCGTTCCGAGGCTCTGGAGCGTAGTCCAATCCCCTCCTGTA